CACGGATGATGAACTTCAAGGACTTTGAAGACATCAACAAGGGTCTGGAATACGAGCACAACCTCCGCCTAGCCATCTCCCAACTTCAAGAATGGCGACAGATGGGGATCGGTGACCTGAAAGCAGGCGAGAAATACGAGCAGGATAAGCAACAGCGCGTGCAGCGAATGCTCCCTCAAGGGTCATTTGACCGTTTTGCCAGCAACCGCCCTAAGCAGGCACAGCTGACAGAGACACCAGCGGCCGCAATCCAGCTCACGACGCCTGAACTGCCGCTGCGACTACAAAAAGCCGCCAATCCACACGCACCGGCAGATTCTGCCGACGAACCATTGAACGATTTCGATCGCGCATTTGCTGTCGATGGGGATGCGCCTCCCCCGCAGCCGACAAAGACGAAATACGTGGTGCCGCCACTAAGCGGAATGCCGTCGTGGAAACTGGACAATGAGACTGCTGCTGACTTGCACCTCCTGACCAAGGAAGAGGCAGAGGTATGCAATGTTCTACGTCTGATGCCGAAACCGTATCTGGTCATCAAGGAGACACTCTTGAAGGAAGCAATGAAGCAGGGCGGTAACCTGAAGAAGAAGGATGCACGGATAATTTGCAAGGTATGTTTCTTACTCGACTCTTGAAATACGAATCCCTTACTGATTCTGTTAGATTGAGGGCACCAAAACCAGCCGCATTTATGATTTCATGGTACACAGCGGTTGGATCAACAAGGCGTAGGTGCGCCAGGTCCATTATATGCTGTCATCGCTTCTTAGCTTATTGATATCCAAATCTACTTGTGATTTTGTTCGGGGGCGTTTCTTTTTTGGCGTTCATAGGGAACTTGGGCGACGGGCGGATGTGTTGATTTCAGAACTCGTCAACATAAGTCACAGGTAGAATATCACCTGTAATTCGCGCAAGTGTACAATTGTACAATGAACAGTAACCTACAGAACTATTACCTATCTAGTCTAAAGAAAATAGTCGATAAATATTACCTTCAAACCCATATCCAACGAAGTAAGATGTAGTAATCATCCTTACACTCCTCGGTCCTCGGCATGGATAGCTTCTCCGCATCTACAAATGACCCCAATTACCGGCGATCACCTCCATTTTTCTATATCATTTCCTAAATTCTTCCTTCATTTTCCTCTGTCCTCTGTCCTCAACAAACCTCCCAGCAAACTCCCCAAGAAACCAAAATGCCAACTTTCACAATCCAACCCCCAACCCCAGCCCACGCAACCCTCACCTACCCAGCACCCCACATCCTCCTGGTCACGCTAAACCGACCCCGCGATCTGAACTGCATAAATGCGCAAGGCCACGCAGACCTCCACGCAGTCTGGGAATGGCTCGACGAAGAGCCCAGCATGCGCGTCGGCATCCTAACCGGAAAGGGACGGGCGTTTTGCGCCGGCGCTGATCTAAAAGGTGAGCCAATATAGCCAGTACACAAGAGCACGCAAAAGCCACACAACCACTCTCCAATCTCTCCAAAAACCAATGCCCCAATCCATCTACATCTGCTGAACCCACTAACCCCCGCCCAGAATGGAACAATCGCACCTCAACAGCAACAACAAGCTCAAACTCGACAACCCCAATGCCAAACAGCGGCTTTGGCGGACTCGCCCGACGAAAGGGCAAGAAACCTGTGATTTGTGCTGTGAACGGCCTCTGTCTCGGCGGCGGTGCGGAGATGATCATTAATAGCGATATCGTGATTGCGTCATCGCGTGCGGTATTCGGGTTACCGGAGGTGAAGCGCGGTGTTGTTGCACTTGCTGGGGCATTGCCGCGACTTGTTCGGACTGTTGGCAAACAGCGGGCTATGGAGATGGCTCTTACTGGGCGGATGGTTGGGGCAGTTGAAGCTGAGAGGTGGGGACTTGTTAATTCTGTTGTTGATGTTGGGGAGGGGGTTGGGGAGGAGGAGATTGGTCGGGCTGTTTTGGGGAAAGCTTTGGAGGTTGCTGGGGAGATTGCGGGGAATAGTCCTGATTCGGTGCTTGTTAGTCGGGAGGGGATTAAGTTGGGGTGGGAGGGGATTGGGGCGGATGAGGCTACGGCGATGTTGAATGAGACTTGGGTTAAGAGATTGTATGAGGGGGAGAATATTAAAGAGGGGCTTAAGGCATTTGTGGAGAAGAGGAAGCCTGTTTGGGTTGATAGTAAGTTGTGAGGATAAGTTTTTAAGAATAGAGATAGTAGAAAGGGTTTGAAAAAGATATGATGGTTCATTCGCTATCCATACTACAATTCGTAAAATTCATAAAAGCACTGATCCCATTACTCCCATCGCGCCGTGTACCTGGTATTCGCGATATTCCATGCAAGTTGAATTTCAGACAAAGCGAAATCAAATGCGCGGTTGCCCTGCCTCTCTGAAAAAGTGATGTTAGGATGTTGTTGTGAGGTTGGCGTAAGGAAGAGGTGCCTACTTTGCGTCGGATTGTACGCCGTCCACGACCTTTACCACATGGGGGAAGAGGGGGTGCTCTCGGTCCAAGCCGGTCAATCGAAGAGCAGCATCGGCAGGCGAGTTCTCCTTGAGGATCTGGGCCAGTTCTACACTCTCCTCATCCCCCTCCACATTCTGGAACCGCAGAGCCATTTCCAAGGAGCCCATCAGTGACTGGAACTTTCCACCACGCTCGGCCAGCTGCGCAGCCGGGCCGATGAATCGCTCCTTGCGGGAAACTTTACGCATTGGGGCACGACCCACGCGCTCCACGGTGTCTTCAAGGTAGGGGTTCGAGATTCGGGTGATGATGGTCTCGACATACTCCTGCTGCTCGGCGGCGCTGATTTCATGTTTGTCGATGATGAGGGAGGCAGTCTCTTGAAGCACATCACGGACGATGCCACGGATGCGAGGATCATGGAGAGCTTCGGCAATGGTCTTCTTGCCGGCATTGTAGCCATAGTATGCTGCAGTGGCGTGACCGGTGTTGACGGTGAACAACTTGCGCTCAATGTAGGGCTCTAGGTGACCAACCCAATGGATAGCTGGGATTTCTGGGGGACCAAACTCGCCGAAAGGCGTTGACTCCACGGCCCATTCGTAGAACTTCTCGATGCGCACGTTAAGACCGCCATCGGCGGGTTGGCCAGGAACGATACGGTCAATGGCCGAGTTGGCGAACCGGGCTCGGTCTGGCATAGAACTGACACGATCTTGGGCGGTGTGGTCCTTGATAAAATGGTGTAGAGTGTCAGTGGCGCCGATGGCGTTCTCACAGGCAACAACGGCCAAGGGTGTGGCGTCGGTGCGGGCGTCGATTCCCTTGGCAATGACGGGAGCGATGAACTTGAGAATGTTCGGGCCCACGGCGCAGGTCACAATGGTGGCAGTTGAGATCTCGTGGATGACATCGCTCTCATGGGTCTTGGAATTGATTGCACGGTAGTTGGTGATGGTCTTGGTGAGCTCGCCCTCGTCACTGACTTCAGTGACCTCGTAGGACTTGGTGTTTTGTAGGGCAGTGATGATACTGTCCATGACATCAACGAAGACGACTTCAAAGCCAGCAGTGTGGAGGAACTCGGCAACGAAGCCACGGCCGATGTTTCCACCACCGAAGTGAATAGCTTTCTTCTCCATTATGTTTGATATGAGAAAGTAGAAGTGGGAATTGGAAGTAAGATAGAGTAGAGGTGGAAGTGGAAGTGGAAGTGGAAGTAGGGGAAGAAGTAAACAAGAGGAAACTCAAGAGGAAGTCGGGTAAGTTGCACTTTCCAGTTCCACCGGGGGAAAGAGCAGCTATTTAAGGAAAGAGGGGAGAATAAGGAAAGACGTATTTACCCCCTTATGTCCCAAAGTATAGTTGGGAATATGTCTGGTCCAGGGCCAATATGACGATGACTTCATAGATATCTGGGTAACGGGACTGGCCTCCGCCTTGTTTTCAACCAGTCATAACATGTGTTATGAATGTCATCGTATATTTCTCTATATTATTATTTTAATTTCTATAATTCCTTTCTAAACAAGAGGATTATTGACCCGATGTTACACTTCTCTCCCCCCCCCCCCCTCCCCGCTTTAATGTCTGTGCAACCTTCATACTCCAACAATTACCGCGCAGTAGGGGCATCCTACAAAACATAAACGCTATTCCTATTCAAGAAACTTATAGGTTTCATTTTATGCGCATTCACAGGACCTGAACCACTCACCGGCAAAACAAAGAAAGAATCGGGAAAACCCGCCCATATTCGTCAATACTTCGCGCTTTGACAAGAATCTTGGCAAAATGTAGACTTCGGAGAAAATCAGCCGACAAACCGGGAAGATCTCTACGGAGTACAGTGGTCCTCGGCGTCTGAGGCATTATACGGAATGCACGGAGTGTCTGGTTTGAAGTATATTGTGTGGTAACTTCAAGAATATTCGAGACTATTCACAACTCATAGAACCTCAAGATCGATACCCACATGTGGTGACGTCGGATGAGCGGTTGATAGCCCCCGACCCAGTTTTTTCCCCATTAGTTGCGGCCAGCTCCATATCAAGCCGAGGTGTTTATTCGAAGCGCATCTATTGTCTTCCATGCCCCGGCGCTCTAGCCCCTATCGACTACTAGATTGCTGCCTGGTTTACACTGCCCAACATACCGTAGCCCCTGGAGGTTAGGGGGGAAAAAGCCTAACTCTCGCGGTACCTCCGGGCCCCCGGTCATTGGCCCAATATCACAACCCTCAGATATCCCGCAAAAGCAAGTGGCCGGATTGGCAACTTGCGCAATTTCACTTGAAACGGTTCCTAGTTACGGAGTAGATTGACTACTATTCCTTACTGTACTATTCTAGATTGGTTACGGATGATATATTTTCATGTGGTATCGTTCGATTCATAAATGGCTCTCTTCTATCTACTATGGGATGTGAGTATATTCGAATTTCGCGAGTTTCCCCGACATCCGCCCCCCGTCTGAAACCTGCGCTCTCCGACTGGCTAACATCACCGCTCCCTAATTTTTTCTTTTGGCTGATTACCCCTCTATATCCTTTGAGACTGGCGCAGGCGCATACGCAGCCCGTTTGTTAACAAAAGCATTCGCAAAGCAAGCAACGCTACCGGCGAGCAACAGCCCCACCGCGGCCCAAGTCATCCCGAGGAACTTCTCGCCGTAATGGGCTGACACGTTCGAGCCCTTGCCGTGGGCATTAATGAGAGCGACGAATTCAAAAGCGATGACCGTTGCGATTATGGATGCGATGCTGATGCTAAAAGATCCGAGCTAAATTAATGAACCCCATGTCAGCCATTTCTTGTATTCCGGGGAAATGCGAAATGCACCACGCTCAAAGCGGAAGTGCACTGCCTGCATAGACGACATGCAGAAACAGAGTTCATGTAGGGGGGGTAACTCCATCAACCAGAGCGTGTTCATGTATATGCAACTCACCACGAAAAACAAAAATTCACATGGGCCCTGGCATGCTTTCGGAGCGAGAGTCGTCCATACTCGTATAAGCATGACAATACCCATCGCGCCAACCCCGATACAGTACATCACGGCCATGACTTGACTTGTCATTTTGAAGGCGTGGAAGTCATCGCTGATAACGCGCGGCCACCCCAGCTGCTTGCTGGAGGTGATCTCCTCCGGCCAGGCTTGTGTCGGGTCAAATGCAGATACGATCGTGCGGCTTGAGCATTCGGTCACGTTGCGCGTGACTTCTGCACTGGGGTCGATTGTGCCCAGTGTTCCCTGGCAGTAGGACAGTACGTGGATGGAATAGAAATCGTGGGCTCCACTTTCGGTGCCTACTGTGGGTGTGTAAAGCTAAATGGATAAACGGGGCCAAGTCAGTATTCTGACTCTACCTGCCACTTATACAGAGAAGTTGGAGACGATCGGACTTACCGTCAAGAGATCCACATCTTCGAGGAGGTTTCTCTGCGTGCCTGCGAAGAGACATAGGAGGGTGAGTATAAATGCGACGAAGACTGTCACCGTCTGGAATAGGCCCCTGAAGTCCGACATGATGGTGAATCGGGTATATGCGTTGGTCTAGTTCTAGTCTTCTGTGAGAGGTAGTTGGGTCCAGTATGCAGTATCTGGTGATGACCACAGCAGATGGATGTGAAGGCTCAATGTTCAATGAGAAGAACCCAAATCTGCGGTTCTTGCCCTCATATACATACCATACTGGAAATCGGGTCGATCGGGAGGATCGGGATCTTTTCTCACGATGGCTTCATTCCAGATGTGGGCTGTGAGAAAGGGCGGGAGCACATATGTTCTCAATAATATCAAGCTTGGATTTTCTGTGGAATGTATGCATTACACATGATCAGATTGAAGCCATTTAGCCACTGGAAATTTGAAATGTAAGTCTGGAGTAGCCTAGGTATGATGGCTGGGAAGGGGGGTGTAGTCCAGCGTGCTTTAAGGAATGTTCGGAATGTTACCAGCCACGAAGGATCTTGCACGTCGACATCGGACTTGTACTTTATTCGTGCGATCTGACATTGATAAATTAATTTTAGATATGAGTTGAGCATGAATTTTATCTATGGGCTGGGTTGGAGTTATTTTGATCGCAGAGATGAAGGGATGGGGCAGGGTTATATATTGGATCCCAAAAAATTTGACGTCAGCGACAGGGGGGTTTAGGTACTTATTGCCTTGGCCACTTCCCAGATTGATACTTTTGCATATGCTCTTACACAATTTCTATGTCTCGACACGAAAATATACTGAGCTAAGTTTAGATTCTTCGGCCAAACTCGTTCAATATTATCTGATCGAAGATGCACCAAAACATTTGGTATGGTCTCCTCAGTAAACGAATTATAGCTGATTATCATAGTAGATACTGTAGATACTGAAGAAACAAGGAAATACTTGTCTATTACCATGGTCTGATCTAACTATGTTCCTATATGGTCGAATATAGCGGCACATTGGACAACGGGTATTTGATTGGTTGACCAGCCACCAAGGTGGGGTTTCTCTGGTCCAAAACAACATCTATAACTAAGTAGATTTATCTATCGTAGGACTCTGAATATCGCATGTTACATGTATATAAGGAAAATCCGTGTCATAGAACATGTGCTTTTAACTGATGTTCTCCGCTACCCATATCTAATCAATAGATGGTCCAAAATTAGGACAAAAAAGAACTTCCAAAAAGTCTCCCGAGAAGGTTCAATGTGATTTCTTTCTGATATCGTGTCAAGTAGAATATTGTATACAATTTTTTCGAAATCAGCTATAACTTCATGTACTCCATACTCCGTACTCTTGCGAGCTTTCTTCTCCCGTCAGCCACATTTTGCCTTTCCCCCCTCATTCCTCCCATATGCAGCGCAGCCCCCATATTTGTTCACCAGTCATAATCCAGAAGGCAGTCAACATGCAACGCAGTTTATGGAGCACGAATCATATGTGAAGCTATATATTAATACGGCATAAGCTCCAATTTGATTTCCAATCGACTTGCTTCTTCGCATACATATAGTCAAACCCCGTTAAAATGTAAGGACATTCGAAGAGTAAATCCTTGAGAATTAACGAGGTTTCTACGGAGTACAGCGTAAAGAATTGAGGGTCTTGGCATTTAATTATGTAATACATATGCCATTTTTGCACATGTTTAGAACCGGCAGAAAAGGGCGGGATAGAGAGTTAAGCCAATGGAATTAACACAACACATGGGCGGTAGGCCAGAAAGGCAACGCAAAGTAAAGTTTGAAAATAGGGGGGCGCTATACCTAGTTAGGCAGCCTTGGCGCTCTTTACTATAGCAAAATAATCTGGGAGCGTAAATTCTTCAAAAGTGACCGGGGTTTACAAAGAAGTGGAGTACATTTTAACGGGGTTTGTTTGACTGTAGATGCCTTGAGAGAATTAATTTCGATGCTGCAGCTTTGTTCCTGATTCACACCTGCCTCATATCACAACAAGGATATCAACTCCTCTGCTTTCCTCGATCCCTGCCCATCTAAGTAGCTTTTTTTCGGATATACCATAGACAGCCCTAAACCTTCGAGTTCTGGGATGAGGCGGGCTGAGAGAAAACATAGCTTTCGTAACCAGTCAACTTTGTTGAGAGCCTTTTGCTGGAGTTCTTTCATTTCATCCTGGCATCTCACACCTAAACATTTTGCAAACATTTTGTCACGTCGAGGTTCGAAATCTGGCTATACTTACAAACACACTTAAAGATGTAGTCTCTTTGGATGATTTCCTGTCGAAGGAAAACAGAAGCAGATAGATTGGCATATGATTGAGTGATCTCTTCTCCAGCACGAAGTGGACGCAAAGTTCGGACTCGCATCTGTCTCCCTTCAAAAAACACGAAGGCCGTGGGATTACATGAGTGGTTCATGAAGGAACCAGCAAGATCAATTGTCGTACCGAGAGTTGGTGCCGATGCATCTGCTGTTTTGATACACATGGAGTTTGTGAGTATCTGAGACATATTAAATCATGCCTGCAACACCCTCAAATATGATTGGGATCATACAGCGCAGTAAATATTCAGAATCTCTGAGGTGTGCATATCTATACACAATCCGGCAGATATAGAAGCATCTTGTATCGCCGCAGAAATGGGACCTCTGAGGTGTTGTGTTTGATGGGTCTCGAGTTGGTTGACAGCATCCCATTGTTCGACGTCTAGCAAGCCAGCCTTTTGCATACTAATCAGTCTGTAGAGGGCTCGCGTTCTGGCATACGTCTCCTTTTTCTTGCTCAGTATGGAACACTCATGCCGGTGGTAGCGCCGCCAGGCATTCAACTGGCAATTCTTTCAAAATAAGTCAGAGATGGGGATAGTCCTTTCGGGATCAACCAACCTACTCTAGAACAATAGTGGCAAACTTTGCATCCGTCGCATTTCTTGAAAGGCTCCATCACTTCCAAAGTCTCGCGAAACTGTCCGCTAGGCAGTATTGAACTTTGACTGTAAGAGAAGCAATAGTCGCAAACCGTCGCATGCCTCCCATCGTCGACACAAGTGATTAAAGGGTCAGATCGGAATATTTCCTCGCCCTCACCAATAGCGCTAGTCGAGAATAAGCCATTTTTCGCACCTGCGATAGACGATGGCCGAATCTCTAGAGGAAAAGTCGAGGTCACTTGGTTGCTCAAGTAATCGGACAATTTGGCAATTTGATCTGGCGTCATCTTGAGACCCTACTTGCGAAAAAGAATTGTGGTTTAAAATAATTTACGTGAACAACGCGTGATACCCCTCTGGAAGTGGGGTAGTGCTGTATTTATACATAAGTACCTTGAGAAAGACATCGAGGTATCGATGCAGCGTGCAGAGAGACCTCTAAAGTATTGGGGGGGATTTCGGTACCTTCACATACTATCTTCTATATGGAGATACAAAACTCCGCCCAATACTTTGGAGGTCTCATTGTACCCAGGTGAAACATGTATGATATTTTTTCGTGGAAATGACTTGGTTCGATATGCTAAACCAATAAAATACTCCTTGTCTCATGTGTCGCTATTCGCGCTGTATTTCTAGACAATGTACATGTGAGAGCAAGGTGGATGGAGACCATCGATCTCATCTCCATCAATCGTGGTAAGCTTATCAGCACCTACCCAGTGTTGGTGGGCATCATATGTATGTAGGATAGCAAATTGACTAGGTATCTTTTGTATATCAACTCCACACAAAAGGTACATATGCAACACATATAGAGAATACATCGAATTATCTCAATTCTCAATCTACTTTTACAAAATATAAGAAAATGAAGATATAAAACTGGTCTGTTGTAATCATTTCAACATCTCCCTTGCGTCAGGTATGCTTGTTAATTCTTACCAAGGTTGATACTAAGTAATTGAGATATCATCCACAATATATATATCTTCCTACGTTATCGTTGAATATTTACTGTTACTCTGTGGGCTAAGAACATCGAGGATTTGGCTATGTTATGCTAATGTACCTTATGTATAGAACTGCTATGCAAAATATACCTAATACTCTTACAATTTGCTAGTGCCCATCAACATTGTGTAGATGTTGATGGTTTTGCCACGGTTGCCTTCAATTATGTTCCTTTCTTAATACTTTCTATGAAAAATTAGACATTCACTCAGGCGTGAAGGCACAGAACAGATATTGCCATATTTACACTATTAATGTATCCGAATACGAAATACATGCAGGGTTCAAAGAGACCCCGAAGGCGCTCCATTCACAAGCAAGAAATTTCATTGTTGTGAGCCCAAAGTGTTACCTTCCAATCATCCTCCAACCGTCTACCATCTATCACACAGGATGACTTGCTTTACTGTAGAAATTCGCCGACCGGAATCCTTTACAGCTTGGTCAGCTTACTATTACTGGGAATAAGATGGGCCAAAGATAATTTACTATAGACACTCGCTTCCTGAATCTTAGGCTAATTGCATCAACACATAAAGAGGAGCAGGTTCCTAAGAAACAAAGATAAGTGATCTTCCTAATTCTGCTGGTTTGATAAGCGTGTAACTCGAGACGCTTACATCTTGTTGCCTGTCGGGACCGAATCATACAGTCATTCTTTCAGTAGGTGGACTGAATCTTTGAACAAACTATAGTGTGTGATGGTTTCGAGGTTGGATTTTTCGTATCTCATAGCCATTCTAGCCATGTACTTTGATCTGATCCTCCCAGAGCGCCCGGCTTATCATTTAAATATCGCCTTGCCTTCAGTTCCCCAATGTGACAGCCATATTATTTTTGAAATTTAGCAATCTCCCACTGTTCTCGTGAAGGTTTTCCTGGGGTTGGAAACTTCGCACATTGGCCCTTGGTAGACCTATTTAGGATATCGGAGATGCCGTTAAGGTTATAGGTGCAATAGTCACAGAATGTTGTACAGGTGGTCATCTCCAGTTTTGAGTTGAACCTTCAGAACTGAAACATCGGATAATTATGTATTTTGCCTTCCTGTCACCTGTTAATGGATGAATCAGTTTGTGCTAAACCACGCCATAAGCAGAGTGTAGGCCAACCTCAGGAGATTACACAAAGAGAGCTTGTCATGCAACGTGGGTCAGACTGAAATTTATAATGGAACAGTAGGATGAACCATTAATATATCATTCAAATCGATTTGCCAATCATATCGCTAAAAGCAGGCATTGGTTATAATACCATTGGTGTAGCTTTTAGCGCGCCCTATGGGGGCCAGTAACACAACCACGTGAGACAATATGCAAGGCAGATATATTGATGTGAGGAACGAACCAAGTCAAACATTGGGAACTAGTGGCTTTCTCTCACCAGCATCCGGACTTGGAGATAGGTGCGCGCCTAGCGCTGATTTGATAGAGGCTAAAGGCTACCTAGGTAGAATTCTTCCAATAAATCCGGGTCGAGGGTTGCAGGGTCTCATGTCTCGAGTCTAGATACGCCGCGATGTAGAACTAGCAGAATAAATGCCACTAGATGAGTATTATTGATTATTCCCAACGTCCACGGGTTTGTTCGACTGGCTGTATGAGGTTCGGAGATACCGAGCGCTACATACCCTCCTACTTAGTTACATAATTTACTCGACTAGTATCTGTGATGTAGTGCCATCCATGGATCCTCCAGGGCTCACACGACATGCCCTGGATCCACAGCTTTTGAAGACATGTTCACAGCAAGGAACATGTACGAAGCAGCTGAAACACCACGGCAATTTTCTAAAACGGATCGCTTTTCTAGAAGGTAGCTAATGTACTCCATATGCAGCCTGCAAAGGGGGACGCGCAAGGGTGGAATTCCAGACCGAGCATCCAATAGGCAATATGAAATAAGCAAAGAAAGTCATCTGCCTTCATTGGCCGGCATCATCAGATGTTCAGTGCAGCCCGAGATCATCCAAGGTATCCACTCAAAGTATACCATATACCCTAGCCCCCTTAGGAACTAAAGTGGAAAAAGGGGAAATTAGGCGAAATCTGTCTGCAGGGCGCATGTCATACGCAAGGTACAGCTGGCCACCTTGGGTGGATACAAAGGTTTTCTCAGATACATTCCCGAGTATCCTAATGTAGGTGGGTGGCCCGAGACATGAAACCACGCGTGAATTGACCTCTTTTTGCTGACAATTAACCACGCGAAACGCGAGCACGTGCGTGCCATTATCAACTCCAGCCTTAGAGGACCAAGCATTGGAGAAGCGCACTTGGCGACGCCTTGCCGGTACGCCTATCATTGTTTGACAGGCTTGGAATTGCTTGGAATTGCTTGGACTTGCTTGTGCTGATGCGAGGAACCCAAGCAAGCTTTAGCCAAGATTCTGGTAGTTCATGATGTAGATATGCTCGCATGGATCGAGATTAGACGCGTTGTTGGTCCAAAATGGTCGATATGACACATTCTTAGTTTCATTTTGACGCTGATTTCGCCGGGCAACTCGTGTCAATGATACTCTAGTCCATGCCACCCATTAACTCCATCGGATAAATCGGAATGTATGACAGTAGTGACACGCAACGCGATAACACGTGTTGGAGGTAGGTTCAGATTCGAGGGAAGGTGCGGAGAATGGGGTTGCACATGGTCAAATATTGGACGCTGATTGGCCAGAGATCATGCATGGAAGATGCCGGGGTTGCCAACTAGTGTGGAATCGCCTTAGCCACTACGTCAAGATAAAATGGCCCAGATGCGGCCCGTTTTGGACAGGCCCATGTGGAAGTGCTTTTTGGGCGAGAGATTTCTTCCTTACCTATAGTAGATATTGGACGATTGCCAGAGAAAGTATGCACGTGTGTCAAAGCGTAAATGATATTTACCCTTGAATCCAAAATGACCTCCAGCTCCGGGACTAGGTGTTTGGATAAAATGGTTGCCACTTTGCCCGAGAGCATCCTATTGGCATCCTATTGGCATCCTATTGGCATCTTATTGGCATCCTTTTGGCATTGCATTGGCATTGCCTTGGCATGAGGTTTAGCCAAGAATTGACGTTTAAGTCCATGCATAAAAACTGTACGGAGTACGGAGTACATTGTAACCACTTCTAAACTTACTACAAAATAATGTTATATTTGTAGATACTCCATACATATGGGAGTAATTATTCTTGAACTTCGAACTCAAACGGTGAACAGAATTCATTGCCCCCGCGAAAGTTTGGGAAGATCTGCCACGAACCGCAGGCGGTGGCGATCAAAATTGGAATTCTGCCCCCACGTGCATAGTTGATTGGTCCCCGGTCGCTCCATATAAGACCCACCTGACCCACCCTGACCCACTAAAAGTAGAAAATCTGCTTCCGGAACCAAAACCAGCAAGAGTAGACCCATAGCTGCACCATGAGAGGGCCCCAGAAGGGCCCTGACCCCAAGATAGAGTGGTTCTTGCCTTCGGACTTTCCAAGCTTTTTTTTTTTTTGTCGGCCGATTTTTTCTGAGTTCAGGTGGAGACGCCACTAAGTTGTGCCGTTGCATGTCTTCCACGCTCCGGTTCTCTTCTTCTTCTTCCTCCACCTCCCACCTCTCGTACTTAAGAAGTCAATCGCCACTTTTCTGGGTTGAAGTCACTCACCTTCCTCAACCATTGTGGTCACTTCGACTCTTCCCTCGTCCGGAATTGAACCTGTTTCTTAACAAAGTTCTTGCTCACGCGACTCACCATGACCGACTTTGGTCCTCGCGCCCCTCACGGGCCCGACATGTCGGGAGACCATAACCCGCTGGAGGATATGGATATCAATGAGAAGGGTGCTTTCGATTCCCTCATTCGCCCCGACGACAGTTACACCCCCGAGGGCGTCTACTGGGCTGATCTCCCGCTGTGGAAGAAGATCACCTTCGTCACCTCCTACAACAACATGGAGGCAAAGCGAGAGCTGAAGGATATCTGGAATATGATCAAGGTGGATCCTCTCTCGCCCGTCTCCTACTACTTCCGCAACATGGTCCTCCCTGGTGCCGGTCTCGGTCTGGAGGGTTACGTGCTTTTCTCTATCGGCAACATCAAGCCTCTCTTCCAAGCAGCCTTCCCTGATTGCTGGAAACACGCCAAAACTTGCAGTCAGCAGTGGATCTACGCCATCGATTACCTCGAGATCATCGGTATTATTGTGGGTCAGATTTTGGTCGGTATCTTGGGTGACTGGTAAGCTGCAATTGTACTACCCGTGCCAATGAGATTGTACTAACGTGGGACTAGGATTGGCCGTCGCTGGGGTTTGATCCAGGATGCCGTCATCATGCTTCTCGGTCTTGTTATGTTGACTGCCGCCTGGGGTGTGACTGAGAATGGCTGGATCATCTGTTACGCTTGGTGTCTCTTCATCTACGGTATCGGTGTTGGTGGTGAGTACCCCATGACTGCCACCAGCGGTATGGAGAACGCCATCGGATCTGGAAAGGTTTCCACCAAGGAAGATCGCCTGCACCGTGGCCGCAAGGTCACTGCCGCCTTCCTGATGCAGGGTTGGGGTCAGTTCTTCAACCAGGTCATCCTCATCATTCTCCTGCTCTGCTTCCACCACGGCAGTGGTAACAACCCTTACTCCGCCGTCTCTGTTCAGTGGACCTACCGTGTTTCCTTCGCAATCCCCGCCGTCGGTACTTTGTGGCTTGTTTACTACCGTGCCTACCACATGAAGGCTGCTAGCAAGCAACTTACCGCTGCCAAGAAGAAGGCTTCCGTCACTGGTTATGATGCCCAGTCCCTGAAGCTGACCTTCAAGTACTTCGGATTCCGCATATTCGCAACTGCTGGTGGCTGGTTCGCCAACGATGTTTTCTTCTACGGCAACAAGCTCTTCCAAAGTGAGTTCATCAAGGTGATCAGTCCCGCATCCAGCTCTGTCATGCCCACCTGGCTGTGGAACTTGGTCAATGTCGGTGTCTCTCTGTGCGGATACTACATGGCCTCCTTCTTGATCGACAACAAGCTGTACGGTCGCAAGTGGATGCAGATCGTTGGTTTTATGCTCTGCTTCATTCTGTTTGTCGTCCCTGCCTTCAACTTCGACTACTACCGCCGCCCCGAGAACATCAAGGCCTTCCAGACCATGTACTTCCTGAGCTCTTTCTTCAACCAGTTCGGTCCCAACTCGGTCTCCTTCCTGGTCGCTGCCGAGGTTTTCCCCACCCCCATCCGTGCCTCCGCTCACGGTATGTCCGCTGCCTGGGGTAAGGCTGGTGCCCTTCTCGCCGCCGTCCTGTACAACTACATCGATACCCAGACCAAGTTCTACGTTGTCCCTTGGTTCGGTCTGGCCGGTGCTCTCATCACCCTGTTCTTCCTTCCCGATACCACTGGTCTGGACTTGAAGGAGCAGGAGCGCCGCTGGGAATACCTCCGCTCCGGCCGCGAGGAAGAGTACCATGGTCCTGCCGTGCACCCCAAGCACTTGTCGTGGTACGAGCGCTACGTTCTGCGCAAGTCCCGCTACTACGATGCCGAGCTCGACTACCAACAGAAGGTCGAGGAGTACCGCATCGAGTGGGAGACCGCCATGGCCGCCAAGTCCGCCGAGAAGGATGCTGCCGATGCTCTTGACACTGATGACTCCCTTCTTGAGGGCCACGTGCACACCTACTTCCACCGCACCAGCCCTATGTTCAAGGGCATGGAGAAGAATGTGACTTCCAAGCAGGACACCTTCACCTTGCCTCCGGCTGCGGAGAGCGAGTCTGAGGATGCTTTGAACGAGAAGCACTAAACGGTTACCTTGCTCGGTCCTCAGGTTATTGCCTGTGATGCGACCATGAACCCAATTTTTTCTTTTTAAGCTAGCTATGAATAATTCCCCCTTTTTCAAATGTTTTTTTTTTCTCATAAAACTTATCATGCATATACACCAAGTTTACACCAAGTCGCTTTTTGGAAATCTTCGTGCTCGCTTAAGAATTAGCTTGCATCACTTTTGCTTGACACATGAAGCGGCCCTCTTGATTAATTAGATATTGATACCACTTCTTTGGACACATTTCTACACATATCCTTCTTGCAGACTAGTCATCGAATTCTTTTAAGACTCGTAGTCATACAACATTGGAAGACACTGGGTGTTGCGCTCTAGCCTGAGGCAAAAAAAGCCGACTGACACGCCTATAACCCCCCGAATGTAGTGGTCTCCGGTGATAAAGCGGCGCTTAAGCGCTGTCGCGGCGACAAAGCCTAGTGAGTGCTTACCGTATCCGTGGATACCAATTAGGACGAGGCATGCTTCGGCAGCGAAGGTGCGGGGAGCGGCGGGCCAGGGAGCGGAGCAGGCGGGGGGTTCTTTGGTGGCGTATACGGAGGTGTCAACCTCGGTGTCGATGACCGGGGGGGTGGAGAGTTTGAACTCAAGCATGGTGAGGGCGATAGATCAATTGGGGTCTAGTCTATGTCGAGTGAATGAGCGCCACATATAGGACCGGGGAGAAGTTGAGAAATGCGGGATAGGCGCGGCTCATATCCTAGACGATAGATAAAGAGAGTATATCTCAACGATTGTATAGCTGTAATGTCCACTGACAATCCCCCTCCCCTTCCACCCAATTCCCCTGGATGAAGATCTACCGACCGCCTGGCCAGTGATTCGCCTAGCAAAAGACTTTCCCCTTGCCTCAGATCTTGGCTCGGCAGTCGGCAGTCGGCAATCTGGAGCCTACTTCGTGCGGGGCGTACCTTTGTCTCACGTTTTGCAAACCACCATCCAGGGCAGCCCCCATGGTCATGCTTGTGGATGGTGATATGCCCACATCTTGTGAGACCACTTCCGCGGAACTGCAAGGAGAGGTTCAACGTGGAGATCGGGTTACTAGTTTCAGCACAGCCCTGGATGTTTCGAGAGAGAGACTTCCGCATGTTTATTCTCTGATTGCCCCGTCTTTTTAGAAGTAAGTGGGCTTGTAGGGGTGGCACCTGCAAGGCGCCCTGCTATATGCCCTGCTTATCGTGCTTCGCTATAACCAATCTCAAGAGGTCTGCAGCAGTTCTTGGACCGGGAAGCAAATACGAGGCAAAGCGGACGGGCTTGGATCTGCAAATTTACGTGCTATAATTGGTCTTGGTGTTGGATGTTTTGGGCTTTCTCCGTTGGTGGCTCTGTATAGAGTAGCACCACATATTCTACATACTTAAGCTGAAATCGCTATGCATTGAAGATCTATTTGTTCCGTACAGAATCAAACTATTAAATTTCACAGCCTCCTGTTATAATACGTAGAATAATAGTTTGAATATAATTCTAAGTCGACTGTAACGTAACATTCGGGATCATGAGGATGCGTGGAAGCCCGAACTTCGTCTAACTTTGTAATGATCTGCACTAGACATGTCTATTGCAACATAGGTGCAATGTACAAGGTATCGGTGACAACCAATCGAGTTTCGTTCGATCTCAATTTTGTGAGATAAACATTGGTTGTTGCCTCCTTTGTATTTCACCCAGGTGAAGGGTTGCCCTGCCTCTGATGCCCACGTAAGTACTTTGTAATGAGGCTCGAAAGAGACTCTATTATTGGAACAAAGAACAAAGCCCTGCGGCTGGCTGATCATGGCAGGGCATGACATATAGGTTGCAATTTGGAAACTTGGTGATTGAATGCCCCTCCCCTAGCCAAGGCTGAGCATGTACTATAATAGTGTTTATATCATAGGCACGAGTGAATTGGGTCCAAATTATGATGTATCCTGGGTAAATTACTTGCGGATGCCTATCATTATGCATCCCATCACAGCATGTGCATCCCCATGCGTCCCCATCACCATTAGCCCCTCACTTTCGTAAATACCAGCCAAGGCCATGATCATTACCGTACTTGTGCTCGGATCAGTTCCATTACTTAAAGGGCCGTTGATCCTCACATCTACACTCTTCTCAGCCCTCTCAAACCTTCATCTCATTCTTGCAACCTACTCAATTACCAAACCAACACTATCAATAAATAACAGTCACGCTTCGAGATGCAGATTTCACTCCTTGCCGTTATTGCCCTCTTAGGGCTTGCAGCAGCCGCTCCCTCTACAAGCAAGCGTGATCATTGGAAGCAGAAGTATGACGTTGGGGTAAGCAAGCGCCTTTCTAACTATCATACCTTGCCTAAGTTTGCTAACTCTTAATATAGAAGTGCAATGGTACTTCATGTAATGCAAACCTCGTTAATTCAAAGTGTACATATGGATCTGTAAGTTCATTTCCCTATACAGTGAGCTTATAGACACGATATACTAACCTCTATCTCCCCTTAAGTGTGTGGGTAAGGGCGGTGGCGATGGTGCCGAGTGCCATGTTCTGGTGGGATATGGGGATGTATATTGCCCAGTAAACTGTAAAAACAAGGATTACTGTCCTTGATCAATTTCACATAAGGGTTATATCTTTTAAACATCACAACATAAAACAATAGTGCTATTAGACAAAAGGTTCCTGAATTTTGAGGCAAAACAAGTAGTAACGCGTAGATGTTCGCCTCTAGATACCTGATATTTCTGGAATGCAAGAACTGATACGATGGGGTTTATGGTTACGCTAGCTACAGCAATGGTTTGGATGGTAGACGAATATTCCGACTGAGTCTAAATTGCCATATACTTTCCAACAAGGAAACATTTGTTTTGTGTAAAGGTAAGAAAATTAATTTCATTGATGAGGTTAGTTAGAATGTGATACTTTAGAATAGATTTAATAGAAGATTGAGGCAAGTGAAGTATATAAAGAGAAGAGAAATTGAAATTAGCTTCTATGCTTCAACAAGGCGGTGAAGAAAACCGGATAGGCAGTATGAACCAATAATAATCTTTGCCCGTACTCGGGGGCACCTGCACATCGATGTATATGAACCGCACGATTAATTCAATCAAATGATACCCCAAACATAAAACCCAAAGAAGAACGAAACGAAAAAAAATCATGAGACTCTTCGCCTTCGGCTCCAACGGATCGGGCCAACTAGGCATCGGCCACGAAGAAGACGTCAGCACACCAACGCAATGTCTCTTCGAGCAGCCAGAGCAACCCCAAGGATCCCAAAGACACACCATACCAAACATCAGCCTCGCAGATGATTCTGAAATTATTACCATTGCAGCAGGGGGAAACCACACCCTCCTTTTAGCAAGCAACGGCTCCATCTACGCCGCTGGCTGCAATACAGACGGACGGTGCGGGCCGCACAGGGAAACCAAAAACCCAAAAGAGCCCGAGTCTGACATCAACGAAAGAAACATCCTGCGCTTTCGTCAAATGATTCTGTCAGACACTGTATCCGACACAGAGGTATCCAAGTTCAAACATGTTTCCGCGACGTGGGAGGGCACGGTTGCTGTAGCTTCCGTGTCTCGGACCCGCGGCAATGACATCGGCCATGGACACAGTTCTGACACTGAAGATCGAGTCTTTGTATTCGGATCCTCGCCTAAAGGCGAACTGGGTCTAGGACCAGACACCCCTGCCCCTGTCCCGGGGACATGTATCCCCTCCTTCCCGCCAGCGGGGCTGCGGATCACAGCACTGGCGAGCGGGATGGCGCATTCGGCTGCTGTGCTCTCGAATGGGGATGTGTATGGATGGGGCGCGGCGCGGAAGGGTCAACTTGGGGAAGAGAATCGAGGGGCTAGGGTTGCTTATTCTCCTGTGCGGATTTGTGTGCCGTTTTTCGCGGAGGCTGTTACTTGCGGGAGGGAGTTTACGGTTGTTTCGGGGCAGGGGCGGTTTGTTGTTCTTGGAGATGGGGGGAATCGGTGGGGTATATTGGGTGTGCCGGAAAGTTTATCTTTGCGCGTGGGATCGAATGATGAGGATAGGGGTCTAGGTGAAGATGGAGATTATTTACAGGATGATGAGAAAGGGGATTGTGGAGGACGCAGTGGTACTATTCGTTATCGCTATACTGGTATTGGGGCTAGTTGGCATGGGGTTTATGTACATGCTGCGCCTGGGCTGGGACGGGTGGAACCGTCGACATCGGATGCACAGACAGACTCTGATTCTGATTTTGTCGGTGGTTCCATTGTCGCTTGGGGTCGCAACGATCGAGGCCAACTTCCACCGCCGGATCTCCCGCCTCCTGCTAAACTCGCTGTTGGTAGTGAGCATGCCCTTGCTCTCCTGGGAGATGGTCGAGTGGCGGCGTTTGGATGGGGCGAGCATGGGAATTGTGGGCCTGATACAGATTCCCGGGGGAATGTATCGGGTACATATAATGTGATCTCGCTTTCCGAAGCTGTGGGTACGGATGGGAAGGTTGTCGGCGTTGGAGCAGGGTGTGCGACTAGCTGGATGATTGTGACATGATCGCCTCTGGGATCTGGGAGTGCCGAGAGTTGCTGGTAACTGCACTGTCCTTGACAGAGATGTGTACTCAGTCGAAAAGACCATATTGGCGAACCTATCAACTATCAGCATACGCGCATCAAAGTCTCGCATGAACCGGAATTCACATACCTGAGACAACCTCTGTGTCGGCGGAAGACCCATCTCCTCGTCTGCATCTTCGGCATGAGAGCCATCCTGTTTTGAGAAGGAAGGCTCTGCATTGCGAATAGATGCCCCGAATGCGTCCTGAGCGTTTGGTTAGCGACCCGTCTATACCCACTAGTGAAAAGAAAACCACATACCTGTGTTCCTGACGCATCCCATCCAAGAATATCCTGCGGCTCCTCTTCTTCATTCATCTCATCCCACTGCCGGTCATCATCAGCAGGCACGAAAAGACTATCGAAATCCATCGAAAGCCCAGACGCCGCTGGTCGATCTGCGCTAGCCTTCTGACTCAGATTCTCCTGCGTAGATGATCCATTGAGAGGACGGATTGATCTGCTTCGCGGTGGCGGCGGGGGCATCTGTGTACTTGGTGCCACCGATGGGCGAGTATCGCGCGGCCTGGTTGCTGAGATTGGGATAGGCGCGGGTGTTTGTCGTGGGATTGTCGCTCGTGATGATGTGGGGACGTCATCACTATCTGCCTGGCCGCGGGTCATGACTGTGAATTCTGCGTTGATGCCTTCGAATCGGTATTCCAGTTGCAGAGGCTTGCAGGGTCGGGTGTACCGTGCTGTTACGGTGGCATTTGCCGTTTCGGCGTGTGCAACAACGGCTTTGAAGTCTTTCAGGTTGATCGCGACATGCATGTTCTCTTCGACCAAGTATTCTTGGAAGTCACGCTTGTCTGCTGCTACGGATGTGTGGACTGGATGTTTTAGCACTTCTGTTTGGGTGTTAGTTAACTGGACCTTTGAGATTTGATGGAGGTGAACTCGACATACCCTTGCCCTCCATGATTTTTGTTGTAAAGCTTGTGAACACCGCTCTGCCGGAGTCGGAGTACATGTCCAGCTGCTCGGCAGATAAGCTAAAATGCTCAATAAGCTGCTTGAGGAATCGTGGATCAGCAGTCCACATGCTGGTAGCTTTGGATTTGTCGAAGACGGCATGCTGAATTGCCGCTGGTTCGTAGGTCAGCTTGTATGACTTGATCACGCCTAGACATAGTGTTAGAGATATACAATTTAAGGCAAGAAAGATATGTCTATGCAAGCGTATCTTACCTAGTCCACAAATCATCTTCACAGTCAGTCTACACTCGGTTTGCTGCAGGTCTTCATGCAACTCCATGTCACAGCGTTCAACGGCCGTGTCCTTATTTTTGTCAATTCTCCCACGAAATATGGAGAGAAGTGCCTGGATTCGATATTAGCACAAATCATGGAAGATAATCACCCATAAACATGCGGAAGAGTACTCGGGGTGGGAACAAGTCTATATACTCACTTTGATGTAGATCTGGCAAAAAAACCGGTCCAGCGAAACACTACCACTCCTACCACCACCGGTGGAGGTGAAAGAATACGCCTCAAAGAAAACCCCCTTCTCGAACGCGAAGGAGGCAAACCCCGTCTTGGTGGAATTGAGCGCACTAAGGCGGAGCTGGCGCACAGTTAGCCCAAACATTTCATTTGCTGACTTTCAGAATTTGGAATGAACTAATCGCCAAGAAGGTAAAATAACTTACAATGTCAGGCTCTGCTTCGATGGCGACTGTCTCGCTGAATTTGGACAGGCATATCAAGGCGTCGTGGAGCCGGACTAAGGCTGGCGGGCCTAGCGATAATGAGAGCGATGTCATGGCGTTGTCGGTGCTGTTTGGATTCTTGATGGGTGTCAAATAGACTCAAATATAGGATTGATCATTCGAAATCTATTTTCCTACGTTATTGAGCTCATGGCACGCTGTTGGCTGTTCGAGATTCGATCGAAGAAGAAGACGCGGACAAACACATATTACGTAATCCGCGCAGAGCTCAGGTGGAGCCCTGGTGCCTCGGAGACCGGACCCTGAAGTTGGGAATAGCGACACTTTCGTATAATGTATTGTTCTTTTGATTTCAACATGTTTGAGAGTCCTATAACCTAAGACAACTTTCTTTGGAGTGAAAGATAGGTATAACCTGGTGATAAGAATAAAAAATGCACCTTTCGCGATGAAAATCGTCTTCAACATGCAAACACTATCATCTTTAGATTAATGATGTTAATCATGTCTTAGTTTCAATTCAGATGGTATGTACGGAGTACTCCCTACATATTTAGGGGGCTGTCGCCTTCAATATATACTCAACTAACTAATTCTCAACTACTCTATAGGAGAACACCACATGATCGCTTAGTCTCGGGTAGTCTCTCTATCATAACCACCTCTCTTCGACTTGTTAGGTAACGTATTTCACTACCGAGCCGGCCACACCACCGAGCCGGCCACCCCCAAACACATAGTAAATGCGATAAATTACAACGTGATATCTCAACAATGGCCGTTTATATAAAGATTTCCCTGTAGACTAATGCTTTTTAGGCAATTTCTAGCTTCTCTAGCGAGTTTGGGAAATATACATGAATTTGTGATTGTAATATGTATATTTCTGGCTTTTAGCACTGTAATTTTCAATACCGTAATGATCCACCTCTTCGATATTCTTAAGATTGTTATATAGTATTTAGAATTCTTATCAATAGTCATCGATAGGTAGTGTAATCAAATAAAAACGTGGTTGTTGAGATATCAAGTTGTAATTTATCACATTTACTATGTGTTTGGGGGTGGCCGGCTCGGTGGTGTGGCCGGCTCGGTAGTGAAATACGTTATCATTTGTGCATTACATAAAGGGGCGAGGATCAATGTATATTAAGGTGGTATCACTAGAGGATAGTGTATGCTAGTGGATACTAGTATATACTAGCGTGTGGTCTTTTGTTTTATTTTCTTTGTTTAATCCAAGACAAGGCGCACAATTGGCAAAAGGATCAGCAAAAGGATCGGGCTTTCTCGTTCACGGAGTAGCCTATGTTAAGCTAAACTTATGCTAGAAGTTTGATTCTCAAAAAATAGTACCCATCTTGGAATGCTAATTACCTACTCCGTACTCCGACGGGGCTTCGAGGAGACACATGAAAATCTACGGAGTACTGACCCTGTGGCCCATATTTTGGCCCCCGGCCTAGGATGCTATTCTAGTGCCAGAATCCTTTGCGCTAGACCCCATGGTAGGAATTGCTAGACTGCTCTAATTTTCCTTTTCATCGCTCTACTGCATCATTAATGCACCATTACCAACGATCATGAGGACGAACACTTCCTAAACCACTTTATATGAACCACGTCCCATCTCAAAAATGAACTACAATGATTACCTCGTGCCGAGATGCCGTCATTTATTCCGGACTTCTCTAAAGCGCAGCCTGGTTACGATCGCTCTCGTCCTTGCATTTACAATTTTCATGCTCGTACCTCGGTCAACAGAGCAAGCTATAGTAGTCCATGCTTCAAGGTATTTTCTTTTGGCACCTGGGCTAATATTTCTTGAGACATTCAATCATCACATGATACAGCAAGTTTCCGTCCGGTCGCTGACACGCTCGTCTCCTTGCAGTAGAAAAAATGCCTTTTTTCTAGGCTCAGGCGCCGCTGGTGATGGGAATGGTCTTGGCCAGCTTGTTTTGGAAACTCCCCACGAGTCAACATCCATAACTTACGATCCATATCCCGAATATAACAGCGTTGAATGGAAAAGCATGTGGAGAGGAACCTATCAGCAATGTGTTGGCGCAAATGGTTCAGTTCTGGATCGTAGGAATGCAGAAACAGCGATGAAAGGATTTCGTTGGAATCATTTAGGTTTGAAATTGAGACAAGCCTATGCTGGCGTATGTTAGTTCAGCACTGATAGTATTCTAGATTTTCCAGCGCCACTATTTGGATCGTACGAGGCATGGAATCTCGATCGGAGTATCTGCGTCGACCGAAATTCTCGATATGCGGCGTACGGCTACACAGAGGAAGGCAACAAAGGGCAGTGGCAAAATGTGAATTGGGCCACTTTGCAACAAGACTGCTTGCAGCGCAATGCAGACCGGTATCAACCTTCGAATATTCGCCAAAAGACATCGACTTTGCACAAGGAGCAAGATAAAGGAACAGAGGACCATCATTGGAGAGAGAAGACAGAGACAGATCGAAATCGTACCTCTGCCATCTTCAAAACACGGACGGCGGTAGTTTTGCGCACATGGCTCGACATGGAATACACGGAAGATGATCTTTATTATATCCGATCGATTATAATGGAGCTGGCGCTCTTATCCGGCGGGGAATACGAGGTGATCCTCTTGGTTGATGCGAAAAATATCGAACTTCCTCATCCCACGGACAAGGCGGGCTTGGACAATCTAAAAAAGTCTCTTCCGCGGGAGCTCCAGGATCTGGCAGTGTTCTTCAACTCGGAGATACTAAAAGACTGGTACCCGAAGATTGATGTTCACGAGTAAGATTACTTTCTATTCATATTCGCCCTGCGGGTGTCAAATTCCTAGGCGTTAATCCTTTTCCAGAGCTATACTTCAATACTTCCAGCCAATGCAGATTTTCTCGCGATTGAATCCACAATACGACTTTTTCTGGCAGTTTGAGATGGATTCACGTTATACAGGACACTTCTATAACTTTCTCCAACAGGCAACAGAGTTTTCAAGACAACAGCCTCGCAAGAATCTGTGGGAACGTAACTCTTACTTCTACATCCCCGCTGTCCATGGCAAATGGGATAATTTCACTGATCAGGTAGACCAGAGCATGGCAGGAGTTCATAGTATCTGGGGACCACAGCCAGCAAAAGGTATCGAGGTTGGGAATGAAGCACCAGAGCCACCGCGCGCAGACCTGGAAGATGATTCTTGGAGCTGGGGCGTGGGCGAGGAAGCTGACGTGATTACCTGGCTACCTCAATTTGACCCTCAGCACACCGAATGGCCTTTTGCAGACCGAGTGTTTAATTTTCGCCAGAAGGGACGTACTCCGCGCCGGGCATCTGTTGTCGCGATGTCCCGTGTCTCAGCCCGATTGTTCCGGCTTATGCATAAGGACAAGACTGAGAAAGGCCTTGGACTAGCATCTGAAATGTCTCCCACCTCCTGGGCTCTTTTTTATGGGCTAAAAGCAGTTCAAGTTCCCCAGCCCATTTACCATGCGCATGAAACAAATCCTGTTGAGCTCAATCTCCGCGCGAATGCAGGCAAGCCTGGTAAAATTAGCGCTGGGCGGAATAGTATCTGGAACTGGAACCAACACAATGATATTGTCATGAAAATGTCTTACATGTTCGGGTCAGAATTTCCTGAAAAGATTTATCGAGCCTGGTTAGGTTACGACGGTGCAGAGAAGGTGAGTGGCTTCGCTGGTCCATTAACTTCGTTGATATTTGCTGACACACGAAAAGAATGGGTATAGTGGTCACCTTTGTCTGCCTCCTATGTTCTTACACCCAGTGAAGAATACCAAAAAATAGTTGGCTCTCATGACATGGTAACGATTTATCATGGTGGCGTGGGATTCCAGAAATTTGTACAACACATTCCGTTTATTCAAACTATACATATAAAATTACAGACGAAACACGGCGCTTATCTGAAATTTGATACACGACAACAAGAGAACTGAGCATTAAAAAACCCCTCGCTTTTTCACGGCGTCATGTTCCGCGCGCAAAGCTTCTGCATCGTTCATCTCAAACCCAAAATTCCAAAGCTTCTCTACATCTGTTAACTCAGTCTTAGAGTTGATATTGACGCGTGATGAAACATCAGCACCTTTAGAGCTCTTCCGCCCAACATGCTATACAATGCTTGGCGTCACTGCCCAGCGAATTTAATTTCTCGCATTTGCATATTCCTCAGTGAGCATGTCGACGTACCCGATGCGCTTGGATGTGTATAGCGCCACAAGTTCCGGTATCCGTGACCTGGGAAAGACCAAGGCCTGTGAACAACATCCAAATTTGGGCATTTGATGTACGCCGTTTGAGTGAGGGAGCATTGTCACTCGGCCCATGGCAAAGAAGAGTCCAATCAACAAGGGTGTGGAGATAGCACACAAAAGAATAATTGTCATATTCAGCTGGGCACGGGAGTTGAGTTTTCGGAAGAGCAGGAGAACGCAGGCGACTAAGCAGGTGACAAGAATAGAAAGAAGAAGGTAGGTAAGCCACTCTTGGGCGTTCCAGCCGAAAAATTCTTCGGTATAAAAAAGTCGCAGGTATAGCCCTGGGCAAGGAGAGTTATCAGTGAATAAACGGAACTTTGTGGGTTGAGGATGGTTTAGGATTCAATGTTAAGAATCTCCCACGTCTGTAATGACTGTAAAACTCACAATTCGCCGCTCCCAATTCTTGGGTCTGTTCTTCAGCGGAGGCCAAAGCAGCTTGAGTGCGATGATACCATCCATCTAAAGCGACAAGATCGTCTTCGAGCATGATAACATATGGCGTGTCAACGGATGCACATGCCTTCAACAGATATATGTAGTCAAAGAGAACCTTCTCACGCCCTACTATTTTGGCTTTCTCTGTTTCTAGGGACCGTAGATAGTTAATGTCGACCTCGGAGGCATTGTATAACAAGACCTGGTCTGCTAGCTTATCTAACCACGGCTCTTCATACGCAGGATGCTGCAATGGATCTGTGTGTGCGATGAATAGAATCAAGTGGATAATTGCTCTTTCTTCCTCGCTCAGACCCTCCAGGAATGTGCCTACAGTGGCTTGGAAATAACTGGCTCCCTTTCGAGCAATGATAGCAATTCCCAAGCAAAGTTTAGGTTGCCCTGAAACTCTTGATTTCTGAGGCCCTGTAGCATTGTTTGCTCTATCGATGAAAGAAGCCGCCTGCTCAAGCCTGATAGTTGAATAGATGGGATCATAGGCCTTTGTTGGATCAAAAAATATTGAGCCTGGGTCACGGGAGGACTGTCTGAGCGCGGCCATAATGAGTAAAATATAGAAGAGCAGAAAGAGAAGAATAGTCCGAAGCCCGTGGACCGAGTTTATTGCCGAAAGCGTCAAAGCGGGAGCTCGCCGGTTCAAAAGCATTGTGAAAGGCCAAAATAAGAATAATCAAGATTCAGGTTCCAGACAGGACGACAGAAGATGTTTTCCAACATTGGGAGCTTCCCATAAGGAGCCCTGATGGCCCCAAGGCTCCGTCAGTACGTACATACAGAGGCAAGGATACCTAGTGTGGTACCTTTGAACCCCGAGAACGGTTATTAGAAAGCCCAAATGATAGGCTCCACTATCAAGTCCCAATACATGGCTCACCCGTCGGGGGACCGTCGGGTGGCGGTTTGAGCCTCAAGGGTTCAACGTAAAATTCAGTTCAGTCCAACTTAGAGTTGCTTGATACGATTTACCTACATAGTACCCTAGGTATATGTATGGTGACCAGCACCTAGACATACATAAAAAAGCTACCTAATGTCAAGCTTTCTTAGAACTCATAATAGCGAAGCCTTTCCTCGGAGAAATTAGAAAAGGGGCCGCATGATGCCCCATAGCACTAGACGAGATTCCATAGTGCTCCGGTACCGAGATGTACCGATCAACCCCGGAAGAAGATCAGCTAGAGGAAACGTAACATTGGACCCTGCGAGACCAACCAGGGAGCACACAATCCTTACGCATGAGCTACTGTCAGTGGCCGAACGGTATTTTATGTCTCATATTGGACCAAGCGCACATGTCTATAAAACGATTTGGAACTGTTGATCGAGCTCAATATGGTAGAATCACCCCCACAGTAACAACCTTTTTAAAAGTTAGTCTGCCTGTACTCTCACCAAAGGGACCACGATACTCACTAGCAATAGATCAACCCCGGGGGTGACAACAAAATAAAAGGCAGGTTGCTTCTACCTGGCATAATAATCAAGTGGGTCAATGCTACCTCCACCGATAGGAGAGGAACCTCTTCGTGACTCTGGGGATTATTCTTAAAACGAGTTATCGTTTTAGGCTCTCCATGAGAAAAAAAGCGCCTAATAGAATTAATATTATTTACCTGTCAGTTGCACCTATTTGGCATACGATGGATGGAAATCAGTTCCGCCACTTGCACACAGATATTTTCTTTTTACAACAACTTATACCAAAATGCATTCAGTCTTAATTTACTGCCTGGCTACGCGATCGAGAACTAGAAACCGAACACTAGTAACTGGTGAACAATTCTGCTATAAAATCTGTCCCTGTCATTCTATCTATACATAATATTATTCAGCTCATAGAGATTAGCCGCTCGCTTAGAAGTCAAAGTACTAGGTCGCCCAAAACGAAATTGATAACAGTAAAGATTCCATTATAGAAGAATCTTGACAAAATATGAAACAACAAACCTAACCACCTCACGAATTGAACCACAGCTTAGCAATTCGCCACCCCCGTTCATAGTCAACATCAATGTAATACCTCCAGGGACTCAGAGCAACATGAATAGCCTGGCATTCCCAGTCGAAGGTGACTGCCGCTTCAGGAGTAACACTCAGTCTCTTGACTATATCGTCAACAAGTATGCACCCAGTAATAATCTCGAAAATGGAGAGAATGGAAAGGATGATAACTGGCCCTGGATCCGCCCATCGTAGCATGCTACGAGGCGATGAGCCCGGACTATTCCCTCTTTCAAAACAAGCACAGGCCATGAAGAAGAGAGGGGAAAGGGCTGCTATTGTCAATGCGATGAAAATTGTCCAGATAGCGATCATTGAGTTTGAATGCTGATAGGCGGGCTCAAAGCCAGGATCAACGAACAGCCAATTGCGAGAGCAAATCTGTGTCGCTGAGCAAGTCGAAGCTCCGGGCGCAGCGTCAATTTGAGACTGCACACAATCGTAGCTTGGATTCGGCGCACGTAGGCCCCAGCGAGTAGCCATACCGGAGGGAAGATTGACATGGATGACGTACAAGGAAGCAATCCACTGTGCCGCTGCTAGGATGTAGAAGATCCACCGTGTAACATTCTTTGCACGAAGATTCTTTCGAAAGGCGCATGAATATGGATGGTATCTGAGCAGACCGGCATATTTCCAGGGGATTACCCAACCAACTATGAAGGGTGTAGCGGCGCTCGCTGGTGCGGCAGCTAGTTTCCCAAAGTCCACCCACCACCAGACGAACGAATATAGATCGAAGGCAATAAGTATCCAACTATACCAGTGTATATCACCGAGCCGTTTGCAGGGCTTATCTTTCGGCCTGTATAACGCTTTCTGCTGCAGTAAAAGCTGAAGCAGCGATCCTATTAGAAATCCAGCAGATGTGGTCCAGCTAGTGAGGAGAGTCGGCCAAATAGCCGAATCGCGTGGAGTAGATGGAATGACCTTATAGTCATTAAAGCAGCTCATGGCTTCGCACCAGTCCGAGAAAGGGTTGCTGTCCTTGTCGAATACCTTGTCACTGCCGAGGTACCCGACTTTATTGTCCCCGAAGCCAGTAATGCTTGTGTGATCCAAAGCGGCCCGTATAGCGGTACAGTTTGTCGTAGATGCTGGTGTACTGTAACATTTCTCGAATCGAGTGTTTTTGTAGAGCGCGTATCCTGGGCTGTCGGAGCTGTAGCCGCCAAAATTGGGGGATTTGACAGCGAACACGACGGTGAAAGCTATGGCAACTCCCACGAGGCAGACCATTAACAAGAAGGCAGCTCCGATGATTCCCCAGATGGCATTTCGCTTCCACGTTTCGTCCATCTTCTTAGGTATGGAAGGGAATTTGCAATTGGCGACGTCACCTGAACAAGCATTAGTGGCTGCGTATTTTGAGGGTAGTAAATATTGAAGTACGAGGTAGGAGGACATACGTTCGCCATAATCAGTGTCATTGTATGAAAGTTGACCATAGTCATAGTCCATTGACCCTGTCCGCAAATTCCTCAGTTGCGGCATGACGGAGAGGCAGATGGCTATTTTGGCTTTGGACTCATAAATCTACGGAGAGTTACCAAGTAAATAAAGGATTCATTTCAAGCCCACAGTCAAAGTCAAATTGGATGCCAAGCGCACAGCCTTACCAGGCCAGAATGTACGGAGAACGGAGTACCTGTTCATATTTAGCCCATATTTAGCCCGCAGCTCGTATATAAATGCAGCGCTTGGACTTAAAAGGTAAAGTGCAAGCCTCACCAACCTCTCCGAGGGGCGATGCAACCCAATCAGCTTTCCGGGTGGAACTAAAATCACCAAATAGGTCAAGGTCGATTCTCTAGCGTCGAAATTTCAGCCGCAAGCCTCCTTTTCATTTGGTGATTGCCCGCAGAAAGGGGTCTGTTCTTTGATTAAACCAATTACACTCCCCATGGGGCCTCTAGCAGCCCAACCCAGCCACTCGTGCCTAAACTTAAAGCCATATGCTAAATTTACGTTGTTCATCGGAGCCATCTCTTCAGTATTCCAATATAACCTCTCCAACCATTTAATATGTCTAATGAGTCTAATAAGCCTCTGACTCCCCGAGTCTTGGCGACTTCTATATCGTATTTTGTCAGTAGTATGGATCACGGAAGCACTACCATCGAGAAATGAGAACAAAATCTCTAGAATGGAATAAAATTGCGGTACCTTCGGGATACCAAATTAGTCCATACAATATAAGCAACGTCTTTGTAGATCAATACACAATTCGGTGAGGTGCAGCGCACTATACTTCCAAGGTTCAGACTAAAGAGAGTGGGACCTGTTAGTTCATTTTCAATAAGAGTGCCATTTATTATGATTTCACCATAATAAAAAAGCACAACATGGTTACTAATAAACTCTCTAACTCCCCGACTATCTATATGCTACAATTTGCTGCGAAATTGCTTAACCAAGCAGAAGCAAAAATAGGCCTAGACCATCTGGATAGTTAATCTACTTCTTAAGCTTTGTTAAAATGGAAAATGGAATGCCTGGGTATTCATGCTTAGATAGACTGGATACCTTAATATTACATCTTTACCTACTCCGTAGTTAGCAATTTCTGCTTTACATGCTAATTTCCCAACAAAACGCTAATACTCCGATAGACTCGAACACTTTGTACTTCATGTACAGAATATGTATTTATCTAGATCTAATTCCGCTATTTTCAGGTTCACTCAGGTTCACTCAGCTTCCAATATGCCGATACTTCATGAATCGGAGTGGTCTTGGCGACATCGGACTTTTCTGAAACTCCGCGGACTTTCAACGCCAATTTCCATCTCCATATCTCCATGGCTCCAGCATTCAAGGTGGTAAAAAAGGAAAGCAATACAAAATGCATTCAATCCAGATGGATTATAAAATTGAATCAATTCCTCCATTTTCATCTCCTCCATCAACCTCCCATCAATCTATACCTCCTAAAACATGTCATCTACTGACGGATCCACCACTCCCATCTTGATAAACAAACCTCATGGCAAAGAGGAAATAATCTCGAGCCTAGGGGCTGCTGAGAAGGCTGAACCTGAGACTGAGCCGACCACATTCTCTTCCACCTTCCAAGAAGCTGTCTTCATTCTCGTCATTGGCCTGTCGCAACTATTCTCCGTCGGCGGTCTAGGCAATGTCGCCTACTCAATAGAACAGATCGGTACATCTCTTGGCACAAACAATAATGGCCAGATGTCATGGTTTCAAGCCTCCTATTCCCTCTGCGGTGGGGTCTTCGTCCTAGTTACCGGCCGCTTGGGTGATCACTTTGGCCACAAATACGTCTTCCTCTTTGGCTGGATCTGGATGGCTATCTGGTCACTAGTCTGCGGCTTCTCCCACGATGTCGTCCTTTTTGACATCGCCCGCGGCATGATGGGAATCGGCAATGGCGCACTAGCCCCCAACTCCTTCGCGCTGCTGGCGCGTGCATTCCCACCTCTCTCAGTCAAAAAGAACATCGCCTTCGCCTTCTTAGGCTTTTGTGCTCCATCGGGCTATATCTTCGGTGGTTTAATTGGAGCCGCCTTTGGCCAGAAAGTCACCTGGCGGTGGGGATTCTGGTTCTGGGCCATCGGGTGCCTCGTTCTCAGTTTAGCGACCTTCGTTATTGTTCCTCATCGAATCGGCTCCCCGATTCCGGGACTGAGTCTCCGTCAGTTTGACTACATTGGTAGCTTACTCGGCGTATCAGCTCTGATTCTGTTCTCATTTGCTTGGAGCCAGGCTTCAGTCGTCGGCTGGCAAGAGCCCTACATTTACGCCCTCCTCATTGTCAGCGTCTTCCTACTTGTCGGCTTTGTATTCTCTCAATCCCGTGTCTCTGCCCCTGTCCTACCCAATTCCCTCTGGGCCCGCCCTGGCTTTGCGCCCGTGGTCGCCGCTATGGCATTTGGCTGGATGTCCTTCGGAATCTTCCTCTACTATACTACTATCTACATTCTCACTATCCATAAGACCCAGCCACTTGCTGCGGTCGCTCAAATGGTTCCCCTGGTCATTGGTGGCATGTTTGCTACGATGGCCGTTGGGCTCTTCATCGCTAAGACGCCTGCTCAGTACATCTTTGGCGTATCTATGTTCTCCTTCTTCATCGGCAACCTGCTCATGAGTTTCGTCAACTACTCGAATGTCTACTGGGCCTTTATCTTCCCCGCTTGTTTGCTTGTCGTGGGTGGCCCTGACTTGTCCTTTGCCTCGTCCGGAATCCTCATTTCCAATGCTGTTCTCCCCGAGGAGCAAGGTGTTGCGGGATCCTTTATCTCGACGGTTGTGCTGTACTCCATCTCCATTGGTCTCGGTATCGCCGCCACGGTTGAGTCTCACGTAAATGAGGGAGGACAGAACCTGATCCGCGGATACCGGGGTGCGTTCTGGTTGGGAATTGGATTCGCAGCAGTGGGCTTCTTCATTGTGATTTTCTTTGTTCGCGACCCCAGATTTGAGTCTAAAGCAGAGGATCAGTCCGGCCCCGAGGCTATTACCGAGAGAGCGGATCTTTGAAGCAGTCTGTGATATACTAATTATGATTTTTGTCTTGTCCACTCTTGTTAGCCAGTATTAACCTGCTTAACAGAACAATGTTTTTTTTAAAGTGATAATATTTTGGTAATTGGATTGTTTTTTTACTCAAATAAATATAAACATTTCATCTTGTAATAGTTCTTTAGTATAAAAAAAGTAATAATAAACCTCCGCTTACCACGACGATCACCGGGAGATCGATTCCTGACGTTGGGGGCCGAGCCGAACGGATTTAGTATGTCGATGGGGAAATATCCAACTTACCTTCTTACATCCCACTCAAACATGGATCTTGCCCGCCCCAAGAAGCTCACCCTCTCCTGTTCGCGATGTCGCACGTCTAAATTAAAATGCGATCGCAAAGAGCCTTGTGTGGGTGGTTCATAGAGTCTTGTAGGAATGCGAACTAATTGTTTCTAGTTGGAATGCGTGAAGCGCGACTGCGCCTACCTATGTACAAAAGATGAGCGTCAACCGAGAGCTAAGCGGATAAAAACCAAACATACCGAACAAAACCGCAGCCAGGTGACAGCGAAGGAAGGAAAAGAGCCAGAGATCGAAGAAACGGCACAGATCTTAGAGCACTTTGTGGATGTCATTCCTCTCCCCACAGAATCAGCAGGCGTGGCCCCTGACATCCCCAATCAATACTGGGTGACCCAGGATCCGCAGAGGAACGTCCAAAAGCTTGCCTTAATCCGAGATGTGGTTCACGCCCTGCCAGAATGGGATGTAATTCAACTCCTCTATGAAGTCTTTGTCACGCGCTGTCAGGGGTCTCTGGGAAATGTGGTGCACACCCCAAGCTTCATGAAGCAAGCCGATCAATTGCACCACTGCCTGAGTATGGATTCCCCTGACGTGGCCATCGCTAGTACGCTATCCATGGACTCTCTGGCTGTTTTGCTTCTCGCGGTACCGCTCTCCTTTAAACCCGCTTGGTCTAGCATCGGCTGACAATTTCCACGCAGCTCGTGCTCGGACTCGCCTTTCATCCAACCCTATCACATGTGGGCGTCCAGCTCACCCCGTTGAGTTTCCACGTGGAGCAACTGCGTGCTTCCGATGAGCCTACATCGACATGGCGATCCCTCGGCGTGCGTTGTCTCCAGGGAGGGGTTTCCCTCTTTTGTGGCTCTATCATCAGCTTACAAGCAGCCATCATGCTCCTGTTGGATACAAAAGTGACCTCATTGGAGCTTGATGCCGTCTTGGTTACCGCCATTTCGGGTGCGCGCAAACTTGGATTGCATCGCTTGGGCAATGCCGCTTTGGATGCCTCACCTTTCTTAGATCATGACTCGTCCACTGCTGAGCCACCTCACATTCGCACCGAGGTTGCCATTCGAATTTGGTAGGCACCCCGAATACCGGGATTTTGTTCACTCGGGGCTAAGCGCTAATTATCCGGGACCGCTAGGTGGACTCTTGTCATGAGAGACTGGTCGCGCGGACAAGCACTTGGCTACTATACTATCCGCCCTTCACAATTTAATACCCGGATGCCGTTGCACCTTAATGACGACGATCTGCTTAGGGCACATGGCAAGATTCCCGAGCGTCCTCGGTCTGAGTTTACTATGCTTTCATATACGGTATACGCGTTGGAAATGTCCAGCATTGTGCGGGAGTTGATTGATCTCGGGCACACCGCAGACGAAGCTTCCCAGCGGCGCCAGCACATCAATCAAAAGTACAAAAAATATGTGGCAAGTTTACCGTCTTACTTTAGATTGGGAAGCACCATCGGACTCACCGCCATGGGTCCCATGTCTGCCATCCCAGTTCAACGATTTATGTTACATCAACAGCTGTGGAGCCTGCTTCTCCGCTTGCATCGCGCTACCCTCTCATCTCCCATGGGGCGCGCATCTTGCCAGCAGCTGGCTCATAACATTATCACCACGCAAGCCCAGATCCAAGCCCGCTGCACTATTTGCGGCTCGCTATCCTCCAACGAAACACAACTCTTCAACGCGGCCGTTGTGCTGGTCTTGGGGCTACTGTTTGATTCCCCGTCAACCGAGGTTGAACACTCAAGTGCACAACTTAGCCGCTTAATGACGCGAGACCATATTCGGGAGGCCATTGAGCTATTACGTACCAAAGTTTCACCTGAGGAATCCTCCGGGGACGCTATGCCCGGAGAATTGCCCCAAAGCTCGGTATCACGCAGTCTTATGGCCCTCGAGGCAATGATGAAGTTAGAGGTGGATTCGAGTGACAGCGCGAACCGCCAGGCGGGATCAAAGCAGAAACGTCCCCTTTACCACAAAGTGGTGAAGATCCTGAAGACTTTGAATGATCCAATCACTCCTGCTGATTCCGTGGTTCCAAGACCATCGACTCCTGGGGACACATCTTTCACTTACCCCATGCCTGTTGCGGACGGCTTCCCCGATCTAGATGTCATGCCCATTCTATCTAATGGCTTGAGCCCTAATATGTGGGACTTCTTGGACTTCCAGCTACCGGAAGACGCAGGCAAAGACAAGCCTATGGCCGGAGACTTTTACGGGGATATAGGTGTCGAACCCGCATTTTATCCAGGCGAAAGTAGTAACATCTCAAGAGCACGCTTGGCCCATGAATCCCCGTCAGCTCTACAGAGTGAACCCACGTTAGACTCTGCGACGACCCCTTCGAGTGCTGACGCCTTGGCAGCGGGTAACCTTGAAGAAGTCATGGGAAACGGGAGCGTTTCTTCCTAGTGGGACATTGGCTGACCTCTCACACTCGGATTGCATTCATAAGCTCCTATTAGTTCCTACGATGCCAATGCCGTTTTCGACGGAGGCCTTGGGGAGAGGTGAAGTGGTGGAGATTGACGAATTCCACTGTGTATTAGTCACTCCGGGGAACAATTGCGCCCAAGGGACCGAAGAGATCGAGAGCCTCGAATTAGTTGTACACGAGTGATAACACACGGTAATTGATGGGAATTTCGCTGCCTAGTTTGTTGGGATTTTGTTAATATAAAGAAAGATCCGAGCAGCTCGGCCTAATCCCTGATTTTTCCAATGTTGTTACCAATCTGTGGTATTTGACTCAAAAGGATCACGGATGTAACTGGTAAGAACCATAATAACTCGTAACATCTGGCATGTTGTGATATCAGTATGTTGAGCCTCGATGAAGGCTTATATGTACAACATTTTGGATAAAGTATTAGATGATCATGAACAAAGAAGGAAAACAGAAATATCGTAAAGCTTCGTTAAAAAGAGGGTATATTGCTTGTGGGGTAGCAGATGATAGAAGTCGTACCGACTCAGGGTAAATTTTAGGTATCAGATATGTTGGATCCCACTATCCAACACCAGGGGCATTTCCTGGGATGGGGCGTCCCTCTGCATCATTTGTTGCACTTTCCTCTGTGTGATTTGCATTGGGCCTAGGGTCTCTGTTCAAGCCACGGTCTTGCTCCCTATCCCGCTGGGGCAAGGGTTGCGGAAACTGCATTTCCAGAAACCGTCGTCTGCGCCTTCCGCTTCGAACAGCATGCAGGAAGTTAACCCCAACTTGAGCGATGAAGATCACCAGGAAGGCGCCAATCACAAATCCCTGAGAGACAAATGTTTCATCTTTTTGCTCTTGTTGGTCAATATTGCGGGTTTGATCACGTTCATTGGGTATTTGCGAACCGATATCGGGGAATGAAATCCCGGAACTACCAAATGAGACCGAGACCGAGAAAGAAAATGGTGTCAATGAAGTGAATACACTCGGCGTTATCGAGTTGAAGGCTCCCGACAAGGGCCTCAATAATAGAGGGATTATGCAGAAGATGAGGAGAGGGACGGATAGTCATAAGATAGAGTAGAGTGATGAGCGAGTAGACCTGTTCGAAAATGTCAGAAGAATATCTACAGTAAGAAGGGATGTTCAACCTACCAGTCTCGGGCCTCGAGCTGTCTCGCCCATTTTGCCGAGATTTTCAGTCTCTCTCGGACACTTGTGGCGGCGAGTATGGGATATTTCTCTTCTTCGGAAATGGGCAAAATGCTTGCAAACCACCATGGGAAGCGGGCTGCATCTGTGGGGATGGGACCATATGCTAGCATGACACGCGGATGCAGCCAAGGTGCCCCAGATCTGCGCTGATTGGCGATGAACTCTCTTGCTGAGAGGAGTAACTGCTGAGTCGGTATTGAGTCCAACGAAGGATTAGATTCATTTTCTTCTGGTAGAGCATTTACACCGTCTGTTGAGGTCTCCATAGACTCAAGCCGCTCCTCCTCTGCGAGTGAGATATCATCTATGCGCTCTGTTTTGGCAACATAATAGCCATCAAGCATTGCCGAGTCGACGATCTTGAACCGCGACACGCCTGTAGCCACCACAAGACTACGACCATCCGGAAGCAGCTCATATCGTTCAATCATCAAGAGCGTTCCGTATTGTACGAACGGTATATCATCCAGTTGGCCTGGCAGTACCCGGCTTTGCCGGTTGTACATGACCATGCCGAATTTTCCATCTCCATTTGCGAGAACCCGCCGAATCATAAGTCGGTACCTGGGCTCAAAGACATGAAGGAAAGTCGGCATTGTTGGAAATGATAGCGTGCACACAAAAAGCGGTAAGTTCTTCTCGTGATCCGGGCCTGTCTCATCCTGGGTGCTGGTCTCCCGCCTGACTGAGATCTGGTCGGGGAAAAAGTAGTCGATCAGCCGCGCCACAGTCTGATTTATGGGCTCTGACTGTAGATCATTCGGCATTCCTATCTTTCGGCGACAAATGGGGCACAGATCAGTATGGTCCAAGACCCGCGCGACACATTTTCGGCAGAAGGTGTGGCCACAAGGTGTAGTCATCGGGTCCAGCACGAGTGCATAGCAAACCTGGCAATCTAGCTCGGTGCGTAGACTGTCTCGTAGTGTTTGGAAGTGAATGAGATCCTGCACTTCTGTGCTTCCGCCTGGGCTTGTCGAATCTCCATAGATAACCTCGCATGCATCAGATGGGAACCGGCCTTCGAGTGCCATGCTATAAATACCCTGTAGCCACCCATACCGCTGCAACTGTACACTTCCGTTTTGCTTTTGTCCATCAAATTTCCACTGCAGTAGAGGTCCATGATCCCGGGACCAATCTCTAGGCACATTGTTTGCCTCTGACCCCAGTATTTCTCCAAAAAGTCCGACCAACTTCCCAAGCAACACGTCAGCGCCACAATCTCCAACACAATGATCTCCAACACAGGCCTTGTTTCCTTTCCAAAAACATGTAAATTCCTGGTCCCTCCCCTCAGCCACGGGGTAAGTAATACCCGTCCGCGACCGAGGGGCGGGTAAACATTCCCGACAGACCGAATTCCCGCATGGCAAACGGAGCGGACTTCGCAAAGGGCGGGAGCAATGTTGGCACTGTATCAACTGGATGACGAGATGGGGCAGATCTGCTGTATCGCGGGTTGTATGCTCTTCCGAGCTTGAGACATCCGAGGTTGAGACCTCCGAGCTAGCCATTCCGGTTCCGGTCGGGATGGGGTCAACGTCGGTCAGGTGTGTCGGGGACAGGGACTCGGCTGCATCTTCCATTACACTATAGTCCCCAGGTAGAATAGGCGGTAAATAAGAGGGAAACAGCAGAAGGATAAATAAGTGAAGTTCGGGGTTGGGGGATCCGCTATCTGCAGGTGTCAGGTGCGGGTCAACTTTAGATAATCGGATCAGTGACTATCCATGGATCTCGAGGTCCGGTGTCACAGTACATCTTATACAGTACTAATACTAGTGTACATCAAGGTACATATACATCGCGAATTTCCCGATCAGGGTGCCGCCGCTTTATGAGGGCGATCAGGCTCCTGCTCACTGAGTATTTCACAGCACAGGTGATCACTGTGAGCACTTAAACTTGGAACCTTTTTTCTTGGTATATAATGGAGAAAATCCGTAAAGAGAAAGACATGCAACTTCTATTACTTCATATTGATTGAATCGAATGCAGTGTCAAGACTGTAATGATACATTTTCCTAATATCGGTGACATCCAAAAGGACATCCCCAGGGCGGCTTCTTTTTCCTTTTGCAGTCACAGTCTAATCTAGTAAATGAGCCGCTGTCCTTCCCTATCATCTCGTCGAACCAATCCTCCATTTCTAGCTTCCATCAGTAACCACAGAGAGTAAATAGGGAGGTACCACTAACCTTTGTCTTCCTTACACTTCATAATACGACCGGCCGGACAGCGAGCAATTGGCCTTAACCGGGAAATCCAATCCTTTAACGAAATATTGGCTTTGCGAATGTCAAAATCCACTTTGCCCCTTTGTTTGTCTGTAGTGTCGATTCTTTCGAAATCATAATAATTGCCGCCACAGATAACATCTTCCAGGGAGAGTGTTTCTAGAGATAACTCGTTCCGTAAAATGTCCAAAAAGCTGGGCACAGAAGTGATCTTTTCTTCATTGCGTTCCCATGCCATTACAGTTTCCCGGGTGGGACAGAAAAAACCTCCAGCTGTTTCAGATGGCTCATATGGGTGATATGTAGACATCCACTTTCTACTCCAAAGTTCTCCTGTCGACGCCTCAGAGGAATCGGAAGTCGAGGAAAGCTGGGGTGATTGGGGTGTACTTTCGGCCGATGCTGGTTCTGATACTGGTAGGACTGATAGGGGGGCTGGTCCATATTCTTGCGGGGACACAGTCGGTGTGTACGGTGACGATGTTGAAAATGATGGCGGTGTTGGTTGAAATGACGGGACTGTAGGTCCATGTGATGGCAAGGTTGGGTGATAAGATGGTACTGTGGGTCCATATGATAGCAAGGTTGGTTGGTATGGTGGCGCTGTAGGTCCATCGTATGGCAAGGTTGGTTGGTGTGATGGCACTGTAGGTTGATATGATGGCGATGTATATCGGACAGATCTTTCATTTTCCTGGCGGCCAGGGGACTCAGCATCTTGCAATCGAGGGTTTTCTGTGGCTCCCGACTCCTCGCTGCCTATTGTAACCCGTTTGACTGTAAGAGTGACCAGACTTTTCTTGACACTAAGCAATAGTGATCTCAAAGAGCTGAAATTGGTATCAAGCTTGTTTATATGAAGCTTTCGGAGTCGAGTGAAGCTAATGTCATGGAACATGTTTCCAACGTAGCTTTTTGCCAGATAGGCATACATATGATCTTGCGACAAGGTCAGTACTTCCAGTTGAGGTGCAAGCTTCCTGAAAAGTTTCAGCCACGCTGCCTCATTGAGATCAATGCATAAATGAAGATCCTTGAGGTCTTCTAAAGTAGACAGTAGAGAATCTGATTGCTCTTCGGAGAGGGCAATCCTGGGGCCGATATCATAACAGAATTTAGAATCGCAGGTAGACAGCTTTTGGGGTCTGCAGCTTGAGCCACATAACGCAAGAAAAAGCTTTGATAATGCCAAGGAGTTCAGTTTCCGTATCTGACTAGCCTGGTTGGTACACGTAGACTCTTGCAGGCTATAAACATCGAATCGAAAATCGATCTGGCTTATCATCTGTCGCCTACCGAGGAATGGAACTGTCTGCTGCCGGGGATCAAGCAAAAACTCCGTTCTGTAATGTGCGAGTCCGATTGTTTGGATATTCTTGAATCGATCCATACATTCCCGAAGTCGATCACTAAACGCTTCTGATTCCAGCAGATTGCGATTATCCGTAATCATATCTTTTTGGACCGTACGCCGACTTTCCAGCTCGTCGCCTTTAACTTGCCGGCAGCTTTTTGACGATATAGATATCATACCGAGGGGCCCTTCAGCGCCATCGAACACTACAGGGATCATCCATAGCTCTTGAACGTACTCGCGGAGACCATTTGACTTGGATAATTCTTCCAGTTCGTGGAGACTTTCGCTTGTCGCAATGAAACAGATTTTTCGGTAAAAGGTCTTCGCAAAATTCTCCAGTGAGCTTTTGTACAATGCGCGGCATGATAACCTCATAGCGACCAATTCCTGATAATCAAAATGGTCACATATCTTTGAAATCAATTCCACGGGCAAGGCTGCAATGGACATTTTGGCTGCGCGTGCGACGTTTCAAGATTGAGAACAATAATAACCAAAAAGCTCGGTTTGTTATCCGCAGAAATGAGTAGGAATCGGAGAAGAATTACTTTTCAATTTCAAGTTCCGAAATTCACGGGGGAAAAAAACATGGAGTTCAGTGACCAGGAATAGCGGACAATAGTGTCTGCCAGAATTTGCGCGAGGTAGAAAGCATTTCAAAGGAAAAGAGGAACAGAGCAGAGGCGAGGATTGTGATTCCAAACAAGGACTAGCCCTGGAGCACTTTAGTCCTGGAGCCCTGGAGCACTGCATGTGGCCCGGACTGCTTAGTAAGGGATACTGCACACAAAGTAGGCAGTCCGTCCGGTACCTGGGACAGGTACTGATACCGGTTGGTCGTCCCGGTATCACCACCCAACCGAGAAATGCAGAACCATCGTAATACGCGCACTGCAAGTTTAATATGCGCACTGCAAACACGTGAACATTTGAACATTTGAACCTTCGGGTCTAACGATTACGTAATACCTAGGGGCGTGCTCAGTTTTACTCAGTGAGCAAAAAGCGGCAAGGGGTAAGCACTAAAACGGAAAGGGAAATCCAACTTGCGCGGCCTAAAATCCGGTGTATATGGTGCCATTGACCTCGTTTAGTCGATGAGATAATATTCCGTCCCTTTATGCCAGCCGTTTTTCATACCTATAGTGCAGCCCTGGAGAAATATATGTCTTTTAGCTTCACATACAACATAAATTTTGATGATCATAAGCAAACATCCGCCACCATACGAAAAAAAAAACCCACCTATGCTAGCACTTAGTAACGCAGTGCTCCAAAGACAGCACTATTTGTAAGCCAGTACTGTCTCCAATTAGCGACAATGAATATACTTATTGAAAAAAGAGTCAGATGAAAAGCTTAGAAACATGTGTTTCAACATTCAAATTATCTTCGTCCACTGTACTTTTCAATGATTTGGTGACGAGGATCATTCCTTTACTCTCTTAGCATATTACTCATGAAAATGAGTTGTGGACTTACCTCTTACCTACTGGAAATGCGAACCCAAGATCAATCACGGGTCTATCCCGCGCCTGATGATAAGTGAGGAGATATGTCGGGCATTGCTTTTGAGATAGGAACAAGCTAGAATGGCACAGAGCTACGCAAAACAATAATACTGGTCAGTTAAAGTGATGTTGGCCAATGTGATATTTATGTAGGGAATATCGGTAGTTTACTTTGAACTCAAGCTATAAAAACTGTTTCCCGAGATATGCTTGTCTATGAAAACTAACCATTTCAAGCGGTTATGCCGAGAAAACCATCGCAGTGCATAACGACCAATGGGGATAGTTGTATCCGGCTTTATTGCCAGCAGAAAATTAGCGATCTATGTACGGAGTATGTAGGTGAACTTTCAACGTATTGTAGCATGAGCATGTTGATAGTAACATTGCCGCTTCAGGTTGCAAACGGCCCCCGAATCGCGAATTACATCTAGCGAGTCTGACTCCTGCACTTGTGACTTGTCATGCATGAGGCGGGGCAGGCTCCAGCGCTAGGGACTCTGGTTGATCGCCCAATACTGGTGTGGCTGGGTGATACTTAATATTAGGCTGCTAAGGCGCTTAGTAAAAGTTGTTAGACTATTCATGGCGAACTTCAGCTGAACCTGAGCAGTACTTTACGATCAGCATGCTAACCAACTGGCAATTTAGAGGAATTATTGGTCTGTTAAGGTACTGATGCAACAATGCAATCTCAAGCAACAAAAACGGATAGTGAGCCAAACTCGATCGACACTAAGGGCCTGTGTCTCTTGTCACTGGACGGGGGTGGTGTGCGGGGCTTGTCAACTCTTTTTATCCTGAAGAACATCATGGCCGGAGTGAACCGTCAACGCCAAAAATCGAGCTTGCCCGCGGTGAAGCCGTGTGAGATCTTTGATCTGATCGGTGGGACAAGCACAGGCGGGTTCGTATAATATTCTTTCTCTTTGCTGTATTTGCCGTAACTAATGTAAACAGTCTTATCGCTATTATGCTTGGCCGTCTCGAAATGGATGTGGATGAATGCATCACGGCATACGTAGACCTCATGCGTACCGTCTTCGAAAATGCATCGAATTTCTTACCTTTCAGTTTTACCGGAAAGATCAAGCCCAAATTCAACTCGGGGAAGCTGAGAGACGCAATCACAAAAGTCGTCGAGCGTCACGACGGGAGTAAGACGGGCCTACTTAATGACAGGAAAGAAGGCGGATGTAAAGTGTGAGTAACACATTCAAAGGTTAGACCTAGTAGCTAATATTGAAAAAGCTTTGTCTGTGCTACAGCTAAAGAAACGACCGGGGTAACGCGACTACGAAGCTACTCATCTGAAGGACTAGATATCCATGCGACGATTTCTGAAGCTGCCCTAGCGACATCAGCCGCGACAGGATTCTTCAAGTCTGTGTCAATTGGGAAACGCCTGTTTGTAGATGGGGCGTTGGGCGCAAATAACCCGGTCGATGAAGTGGAGGGTGAAGCATCCGATATCTGGTGCCCCGACACTAGACAGTTGAAACCTCTCGTCAAGTGCTTCATTTCCATTGGAACAGGAATTCCCAGCAAGAAACAGATCCAGGACGACAAAATCTTAAAGTTCTTCATTAAAACGCTCGTGGGTATTTCCACCGAAACGGAGCAAACTGAACGGAAATTTATTGCCCGGTGGGCTAAACAAGTCGAGGAAAACCGTTTCTTTCGCTTCAACGTGGAGCAAGGGCTACAAGGAATCAATCTAGCCGAGTATTCGGCACAGGGCCTAATTGAGGCAGCCACCGATGAGTACATTCGGCACCAGAACCAGATGTCTCGGGTGCGAAATTGCGTATGGAATTTGAAGCAGAAGGAATGTGTGTATATTGAAGACTTCTCTTAGGCATAGCTGACCTTAAATTGGAGCTGATACCAATTTAGATGGTACAAGTTCAGAGGAGGCAAGAAAATTCACGCTTGCTAAAGAAATTCAAGTAAGAAATAGAAACCCCTGAGCAGTATTCACTGAGCTTACTGAGATTAGGAATTTGAGGACAAAGTCCGCTTGAGAGAGCCGGCAGACTATGAAAACACCTCCATGAAGGAAGAACCGGCTTTCCGTACTCCCTTCAATAATATCCCCTTCCCAAGGAATGCGGGGTTTGTTGGCCGTGGTGACCAGCTTAGTGAGGTTGAACATATGCTGTTCTCTCCAGACGAGCAACGTAAGGTCGCTATTACTGGGCTTGGTGGTGTTGGCAAAACACAAGTTGCAATAGAAATTGCCTACCGAGCCCAAGCGAGGCGAGGGGAATGTTCTATTTTTTGGATTTCAGCGACAAGCTCAGAAACTCTTGAACGGACATACCTTCAAATTGCCCAAGATCTACGATTGCCAGGACTGGAAGACCAGCAAGCGGATGCTAAGACGCTTCTTCGGGATTACCTAAATGACAGGAACGTCGGCCAGTGGCTGCTGATATATGACAATGCCGATGACATTGACATGTGGTTTGACGAGGCCACAAGCAATACTGAGCCGCAGGGATTAAGCAACTATGTCCCATGGAATAGTAGTGGCAGTGTTCTTTTCACCACGCGTTTTAAGAAGGTCGCCTTGAAACTCGCAATGGCGAATGTAATCGAACTCCCGCATATGGACAAGCAGATGGCGGAGAAACTTCTAAGCAAGCGCTTAAGTACTCCAGCTCTCCTAGACGATAAAGATGCGACGATCTTGCTTTTAGAGCAGCTCACTTTCCTCCCTCTGGCGATTGTACAGGCCGCTTCTTATATCAACGAGAACTCTTTAGCTGCACTGTCGGACTATCTATTGCTGTTGTCGGAACAAGAGAGTGATTTGATTGATCTTCTAAGCGAGGAATTTCATGATGATTGGCGAACCCGCGACACAAAGAATCCGGTGGCCACAACATGGCTTATATCCTTCGAGCGAATACAGAGCACCTCGTCATTAGCGGCGGAGATTTTGTCGTTTATGGCCTGTATAGAGCCAATAGGAATCCCAAAGTCGCTTTTGCCACAAGTACTATCTAAAAGGAAATGGATGGAAGCTATCGGGGTCTTGAAAGCGTACTCATTCGTGAGTGACAGGTCTGAAAATGAGACTTTCAACCTCCATCGGCTTGTCCATCTTGCGATGCGCAACTGGCTAAAGAGAGATGGCAAATTGTCAGATTGGACCACCAAAACCCTCACAAGATTGGAGGGTGTCTTCCCCGAAGATGATTATAGGAACCGTGACGTATGGAGCGCATATATGCCTCATGCCCTAATTCTGATCAAAAGTGCCGATCCCAAGGGCTCAGATAAGAGCCACAAACTACTCCAGAAAGTTTCACAGTGTCTTTTGGCCGACGGTCGGGTCAGGGAGGCAGTCTTTTGGCTTGAACAAAAAGATAATTGGGAGGGAAAGAACCTTGAACGAGAGCACCCTGGGCGATTAGCGTCCCGGCATGAGCTCGCGAAGGCATATCAAGCCAACGGCCAGATCATTAAGGCTGTCGAGTTGCTTGAGGACGTAGTTACGGTGGAAGAGCGCACTCTAGCGAAAGAGCACCCAGACCGACTAGCGTCCCGGCATGCACTCGCGGGGGCATATCAAGCCAATGGCCAGATTAGTGAGGCTATCGAGCTGCTTGAGGAGGTAGTTACGGTGAAAGAGTGCACTCTGGCAAAAGAGCACCCTGACCGACTAGTGTCCCGGCATGAGCTCGCGAGGGCATATCAAGCCAACGGCCAGATCATTAAGGCTGTCGAGCTGCTTGAGGAGGTAGTTACGGTACAAGAGCGTACTCTGGCAAAAGAGCACCCTCGCCGACTAGCATCCCAGCATGAGCTCGCGGGGGCATATCTAGCCAACGGCCAGATTAGTAAGGCTATTGAGCTACTTGATGAGGTGGTCACGGTACAAGAGCGCACTCTGGCAAAAGAGCACCCTGACCGACTAGCGTCCCGGCATGAGCTCGCGAGGGCATATCTATCCAACGGCCAGATCATTAAGGCAGTCGAGTTGCTTGAGGAGATAGTTACGGTGGAAGAGCGCAATCTAGCGAAAGAGCACCCTGACCGACTAGCGTCCCGACATGAGCTCGCGAGGGCATATCTAGCCAACGGCCAGATTAGTAAGGCTATTGAGCTACTTGAGGAGGTGGTTGCAGTGCGAGAGTGTACCATGACTGAAGATCACTCTGACCGACTGGTATCCCGGCATGCACTCGAGGTGGCATATTCTCAACGAGCGTACAATCGTGAGCGAGAGTCAACCGGATCAAGTCAATCAAAGGTTGAATCTGACCGATAGTCGCAAACGGGGTTAAATTCAGGGTTGAGGTCGCTTCAAGCGGAAAATTGCGAGTAGGTCAATCAGTCAAATCACCAAGGGACCGAATTCAGAGGGTTCAACCGAGGATGCAGGGTCGCTGAGCTGGGGCTGTTTCACACCGAAAATGCACATCTCAAAATTTTAAAGTCCTGTCGCCACAGCCGTGGAGGATATTCACCAAACGGCGTTACTATCGGAATTTCATCAATTTCCTCAAACAACCATCAAAATAATCATCTCATAGACTCTCAGTAGAAAGGGAAAAGGGTCATATCCACGGAAGGCTGAGAGCAGGAAGAACGGCAGTTGACCAATGGTATTGTAGGGTGGCAGATAATTGGAGAAGAGAACAAAGAGAGAGGGAAGGAAGGAGAAGCCTTCAGGCAAATAGCCCTGGAGGGGTACCCAGATAGTATCAAACCAAAAGAATCAACCTGCCCAGGTAGGAAGTAGAAACCAACCTACTGGCATCATCCCAGCATGCACTGGCAATGGGAGAACAGCCGTAGAAGGACAGATGTCACTCACAGTTCACAAAATTTAAACGCGGCCGACTATTCTGCTTCTCCATAAGTGGTTCTAGTCAATATATACCTATAAACTCTCACCAGGTTGATCAATTGAAGAGTAATCGATATACGCTAGGGATTACCATACAAAGCATACGGAGGGGGAAGAGGCAAGGGAGAGAAATACATCGGGATCAAGGTTATGTAGCCAATACTACAGCTACATACATCCTTTAAATTATAACATTCAATTAATAACCCAACTTCTCCTCTTAACCTTTTAGGTTTTTGGGCGAGTCTAGCCCATGCCTCTTATATATTTGTCCGTACGAGGAATAAGGTGAGGTGGAGCTCCTGAGCTTATCTATAGAATAGTATAAAATGTAGCCACTACCCCTGAATCTGATAATGCTGTTCTCCTTAAAGGCTATTAGAGGATAAGCTTAGCTGGCTCTAGCGCAGCGGCATCTCCTTAGGCCCAACACGGCCCCCGACGGGTCTCCCGGAAATGATGAAAACTTCTCTCAAAATCGCGCACATTTTATTACAAAAGCGACAAAAGCACCGTAATCCGTCTCGGAACATTCAGATCCGGTCAAGAAGACTCGCGTGGCAGGGGCTGGTCATCCTGTTTTGAGTTTTTGGCCCAATTATTCGACTCGAGATGGTCATGCCAGGCAACAATAGCCGTGTAAGGTTGCCTATTAGCCTATAATTGAAGCTTTTGCTCCCTATTACACAGATAGCTAGACTAGCTAGTTGAATTAAATGACTATATGAAGGATCTCCTCTCGCTATCTTTGTCTCTGTATCTCACAGCACTTTCCCTCGGCATTATATTGGAAATATCTGAGGTAAGCCATCTTCCACGAGCTTCTCTACTTCGCCATGCTTATCGACTGACTGCTATAGCTGAAAATCTTGATGATCGATAGGAACTTCCTGCTTTTATCGTTCTCTTTGACTTGTTAGAAGGTATGTTTATCGAAGATCTATACTGCAAAAATTTAGAAGGATACACAACCCCTAGGACAAAGAGTGTGATGACTAAGTTGACCATAGAGACCCTTAAAAGTACCCCTCACAACTTCAATATGCAATCCATCTTCACCTCCTTTGTGTACTTTATATGCTTCTTTACCGCCATGGTTGAAGGTCTTACGCGGTACCACACCACGCCCCCGAGCGACGCCATTATCGTCCACGACAGACAATCTCTCAATGATTTAGTCAAGGTCAATCCGGAAACAATTCTCCACGCCGAGAATGGAGGGTACTACCTCAAGAATATGGACGAAAAGGTCGTTGCGATAGCTGCAGACGACCTATGCACGGAGCTGGACGCTGCTTTTGCCAGCATTGATGCCAATATTTTCGGTGATGAGTCTGAATCCAAAAATGAAGCATATGAATATCTTGGTGGGGCAGACGTTACGAAGAGAAACGAGGATCTCGCTTATCACCCCAGCTGGCATGACTACTGCAGCCACCCACGTTGCTTCCACTCTGCCACCTGTCTGAGTTACACAAGTTGCCAAGTATGCTCCACGAGCAGCCGGAAAGTTTGTATCTAGAGGGTGATAATGCTTAGATATTCGAGATGATGCCGGAGAGGCTCCATAAAGGCCCCGGGATATGTGACTGGGAGAGTAAGGCTGGAAGGGAAAGTCAGAGAAGAACACATGACCGAGAAGACTAGCTATCTAGGGTCTTGGGTTGCAAGTCAGAAGAATTTGCTTAAGGTATTCGAGGAATGATTCCCATCCATGGATGTAACGCAGACGCGCCTCAAGATGCGGAACTCCATGGAATATTCCCCCGTGCCGTTACAGACGTCTAAGTCTATCTATTAAACCCACGCTGTCTCAACATCCCAAGACCCCTCACTCCTGCTGCCTGCCAACATGCTCTCTGTGCGATGCAAAAACTGACCAAAGCCTCGAGCACCCACGACCCCTCCGTCTTCCCGGTCCCAAACTACTTGTCCACGAAGCACAGTGTAGCGTGGCCATTGTTTTACCTTGTGTCCCTCAAATGGAGTGTAGTCGACATCGTGATGAAGGATTCCGTTGGTGATAGACATGTCAAGACTGCCTTCGGGATACCAAATGACAAAGTCCGAATCACTGACCCCCGGGATCAGAGCGCCCTTTCTCGGATACATGCCATACAATTTGGCCGGGTTGGTCGATGTCAGCTCCACGTATCTTTGTATCTTGAGTCGATTAGCTGAAAGGACCAATGACATTCGAGTCTCGACACCGGAGAATCCGTTGGGAACTAGGTGAAACTGCCCATCGGGGTGTTCCGCAGTCACGCTCGACCCTTTGCCAGATGTAGAGTCGTTGAAGTTAAACGGGCTGTGGTCGGACGAGAGAATAGTGAATGTTCCGTCCTCAAGACCAGCCCAAATAGCTTCATGGTCGGATTTGTTACGCAGCGGTGGACTGCAAACACACTTTGCACCCTCAAGCCCAGGCAAATCCAGGTTTTCCTTGCTGAGGAACAGATATTGAGGACAGGTCTCTGCATAAATTGGAAGGCCTTTTGCCTGGGCTTGTCGAATGTTATCGACGGCTCGAGGATTAGAGACGTGTACGATTAAGATTGGAGTATCAATAAACTCAGAAAGACAAATTGCACGGTAGCTGGCCTCAATCTCGGCGACGGCAGGGTGAGAAGCCGTATGGTACTTCGGTGCGTATAGTTGGCGTTCATGCAGTTTCTTGGTCATCCACGCGATCACAGAGTCATTCTCAGCGTGGACCAGAGTTGTGACCTTGTGTAGACGAGATTGGAACAAGACATCCAGAAATTGCTCATCGTTGAGGCGCAAAGCTTCGTAGGTCATGTATATCTTGACGGACGAGATGCCCAACTCTCGGAAGGCTGGAAATTCCGCAAGCGTCTTTGCGCATGGGTTGGAGATAATGAGATGGAACGAGTAGTCGCTGTAGCATTGGTTGTTGGCGCGTTCGTGGGCACAAGCTAGGGTCGCGAGAACACTGTCTTCATGCTTTCGTTGAGGTGCAAAGGCTACGATTGTAGTTGTACCTCCTGCAATCGCGGCGCGGGTACCTAGGAAGACCAGTCAATTTAACGAACATGTTAATCTCCGGCTGTGGAGACTGGGAGACTAACCAGACTCGAAGCTGTCTGCAGTGGAGCCAAGTCCAAAGAGAGGCGGCTCCTGAAGGTGAACATGGGCATCAATCCCCCCTGGCTGCAAGAAGGTCAGCACATAGCTATGAGTTTACTCGTGATAGAGGCGAAATAGACGAACCGTAACCAAAGCCCCCTTGGCATCAATGATCTTTTTGGCCTTTGATCCAGCCAACGATCCTTGGGGGACAATTGAGTGAATCTTCTCGTCTTTGACGCCAATATCACATTGCACGACGTCTTCAACAGTGGCCAAGGTACAGTTCAGTACAATGAGATCCAGATCAAGGTCCAATTGTTCAGGCATATTGAAGATAGATGAGACTGAAGGAGTTTGTGTTAAATGAACTTCTCCCAATTCATTTCGGCGTATCAAGGAGCTGTTAAGAGGGGGTTCCACTCCAGAACCGCCGTCGGCGTCCTTATCAAAAAGGCGGGGCATCTGCCCGGCGAACAATGCGCTAATGTGGATTCGGAGGCACTCTGCATCGATGCACCTACCACGTGGAAATGTTAATTCTGTATAAAAAGAAGATAAACATCATTGAACTAGTTTAAAACCGTTCTACTTTGATTACAAAGAGACATTGATGGTAAAAATCGCATATAGTTATACACATAAACATAAGGCATGAGAGACATGAAGGATCATTCAAAGACTGGGCTCCAATGGTATGCATTGAAAAATCGGCTGCCAAGTGCTGTTTTCCTTGTCGTATTGATTTCTTGAGAATCCAAGATATAGTTGGCTCGGATCATGTGCAAATGCTGCCATATCTTCCTCAGTGATCCACAGAGGCCGGCACTCATTCGGTCTGAAGATACCATAGTCATGTATGCGAGCCTCTTCGGGGATGAGTGCTGCTTGTGATTTTATGCCCTCATGCGTTGTTATAGCGGCTGGTAGACCGATTAAAACATTATTGTCGAGAAATTTGTGAGAATGTGCCATTGAGTTATCTTGCCTCAGGGCAAGACTATAGCCCTCTTCCAGTTTCATCAACGTTTCTGACAAAAGAGCCACGGGGGCGCATTTGAAAAATCCTTGGATTGGAGGTGCTAGTCGCAATAGACCTAAAGCCCTTCGCCGCAAGTTTGGATCACGACATCTCAACACGGTCATGGCGAGAGGAACACCCACACTCATCTCAAAGGAGAATGGCGGTTGAACACCATTTGGACCTGCTGAGGCATCGAGAATCAGCCTAGACTGCTCCACGATAGTAACAAAGTCTGCAAAATGGATATCGAAAACGGTTTCCTGTTGCCTTAAGCATCCTGTCACATAAATCAAAGCAGCAGCATGATACGTGAGAAGCATAGGCTCTGGGTATATGGGGAGTGTAGGTACGGATCTGTTGGTTTGGCAAAGATTGATGTATGCCCGGTGCCATTCAGCGAGACGGGCTCGGAATCCTTCTTTTTTCGCGACCATTTCTGGGCTTACAGCGGACTCGGCACCAACGGCCCTGAGGTGTAAGTTCGCCTCACGCTCAAAGAGGATGATTTCCGCAGCGAGGGCGGACATGATGGTTCTTGCCGAATCAACGGATGCAAAACCAGCGCTCAGGTCCGTTTCTACAAAGGCAAAAAGTTCAATAGGAAACTGAGTCCCTGAAATGGTCAGGGAACTTGTGCCTAGTCGTAAGAATAAAGGAGCAATGCTGCGTTCCAGCAGAACAGCCTTACTGACGGATACTCCTCCATAGCCAATTTGGGCACGGAGATCAAGTATCAAAGTGATACCCTGTCGATAGAGTTCCAAGGCCTTCTCCATATGTCCTTGGATTGTCTCCACGCAGATGAATAGTGCGCAGCTAATGAGTGCAATGTATGGATCTGCACTGCCTCGCTGGATCTGCGAAGAAACGCCAGATATTGATCGCGAGTACCATGTCAATGCATCCTGCTGGGCATGATTAAGCAAATCTACCTTGTTTCGACCATCCTTCAAAAAGTGAAAATCCATACACTGCTTCGGATTTTCGTACAATGCACTAATTGCAATCATTGCATCCCACACTGCGGGCTCACTGCGGCAGATCTGCGGAATAACCCCCGTCCAGAAGTCTACATTCAGTCCACCTGCAAGATGTTGGGACACATGCTGGAAGTAGTATTGAAATGCGCGACGTTCTCGTCGCGCTGCATTTTGAGACGACAGCGCGTGGCTGGGTGTGGAGGGAGCCCATGGAGATGTCCCTCTGCCCTCATATTCACATTTTCGTCCTGTGTTAGAGCAGCGAAGGCAATTCGGCTTCTCCTCGCCACATTTCACTCTTCGGATTCTAGTCGGCGGTCAGAGCTTAACTCCGAAAATAGCAGCGGAAACTCTTACTTGCAGGTTTTGCAGCCGAATCGAGATTTGACGGCCCCTATACGACGGCTCATACCTGAAGCAAATGGGTTAAGGCATAGAAGCACGAATCCTTTGGATGTGCCCAGGTGGTTATAAAGTACGAACCTCGGTCCACACTGTGGAACAGGACTTTGACCGCCCTCATAAAGCGGCATCGGGTAAGACCTATCATAACAGATCAAACCAGGCAACCAGACACTAGCCACCTCGACAGATCAACAACTACCCTGTACATACCCTATAACTACTCTGATAGGCAGATTGAGGTAGCACTTCTCCCGGGAAGATCCCCGACACTAGCCAAAATCGGCATTGCTGCCTTGACAGGGGGCCGTGGACCGAGTTGGGAGGAGAGGGGACCTCAGAGAGAACGAAAGAAAATTAGATAAATAGATCACTAGCTTCAGAAAGGATTTCCTTCGTATTCACAATATTCACCCAGAAACTCATTATCGATCAACAAATTCCCTTCAAGATGCCTATCACCAGCGATATCACCCTTGATATTTCCAAGTTCAACCCGGAGAATGTCACGGAGCCAACAAAGAAGGCCGCAGCTCTGCTGGAAACTATCACCACAAGCGGGCCCCGATGGTGGGAGGTAGGCATTGAGAAATATTGTGAGATGCGGGAACTTGGTCAGACGTCCCTGCCCAAGCCCGTCTATCTGCCGGAGGCTTTGGATAGCACTATTCCATCACGCGATGCTGGCCGTGAGATTCCGATCCGTGTCTACAAGCCTGATAATGGCGAGCCCAGTAAAGGCATCTTCTTGCACTTTCATGGTGGCGGTTTCGTGCTAGCAACGCACAAGGAGTGAGATTAGCCCCTCCTCCGATACCTCTATCCCTGCGTAAATATTAATGTCCTGGACAGTTTCGATAGCGTCCTGCGCGAATACGCCAACAATTGCCAGCTAACGGCCATTTCGGTCGGATACCGTCTGGCCCCGGGACACCCCTACCCGGCTGCTGTGCACGATGTCATTGATGCCGCCGAGTACATGGTGGACCACGCGACTGAAGTATACGGTGCGCCCCTCCGCTTTATCGGCGGAGAATCAGCAGGTGCATGTCTTGCCTCTCTATCAGCTCTACAGCTGATGCGATCAAGACCCTCTTACAAACTGTCAGGTCTCATTCTTCCTTACGGCTTATTTGACCTGGGCCTCGGACTTCCCACAATGGCAGCTGCGACCAAGCCCCTTATGATCAATTTGGAAATCATGGAGCAGTTCAACAAGGCGTATGTGCCGGGTATGAGTATCGCCGAGCGCCAGCATCCTTCTATATCCCCGCTATATGAGGACCTCAAGGCCCTGGTTGCGGCCTCGCCCATTGGATCGTTGCCTCCGGCTCTCTTCCTCTGCGGAACAGAGGATCCGTTGCTTGATGACACGATCCTGATGAGTTCGAAGTGGAGCATTGCTGGTGGCGAGGCTATCGTCAAGATCTACCCTGGTGCCACCCATGGTTTTACTGTGGTTCCCGGTCTGCCTGTGGCAGACGAGGCAAATGCTTTGGCCCTGCATTTCATGCAGGAGAAATTGAGCGACTCGGCGTGATCAACGGAAATTCTAGATGTTTACGAAAGGGAGTATATATCAATCAGGCAACTGCCCAATAGAAGTGAATTAGAGAAAACCTTAGCATCATTGATAGTTATCTAAACATGATATACATCTCATTCTCTTTACATCTCCTGTGCTAGGCTCTAAGTATGATTCATTATGTGCAGAAATGTATGAGCGGGGTAGCACTGGTTTATTAACCGAAGCCAAAATTATACGATCTACGCTGGCCAATAAATTTGATATTCGGGATTTTTGGAGGTCATAGATTGAACATGCGTAAATCGTCGCTCAGAATAAGAAAAGCCAAGCACCCAATCAGCCGTCCTTACAGGGTATATTGGCAGGACAGAAAAGTTCAAATAAAAAGAAATGATTTGGGGTTTATTCTGACTGAGAAGTAGTTGATGAGTCTGATTCTGAGTCGGAGTCTTCATCGAGGACAATCCGTCGCATGACACTCTTGTCAAATAAGTCCAAGGCAAAACGTCGAGCTGGGAGTCTGTAATGATGACTCTCCAAGATGCATAAGGTCTTGCGGAAGAGATGGGCTTGGTGGAATCGCTCGGGTTGTTTGGATTTTAGGCTGTGGTTAAGAATTGTGAGTCAATGTCAGAAGTCGCAGAATGGTAATCAGAGTCTTACATGTGAAGATCGGAAGCGGCTCGCTTGGATAGCACCGTGTTTCCCATATCAACGATCAGCTTCAAAATCCGTTGATTGACTGGATCGGAGTCCGTGGTGGCTTCCTTAAGTTTCTCCTTGGGAGTTCGCTTCGATCTATAATCAAAGCCAGGGAAGGAAATCTAGATGGATGAGCATAATGGGACGGAAGCGAATGGACGGAAGATACTAACCAGGAACAGTTTTCGGAAATCGGTAGGGAGACAAAGTCCCAGTGAATCTCCCTTTTGGTCGACACCGGAGTCCCAGCCCAGACTCTGTAGGACTTGGAGTCCGTGTCGACTGCGAGAGATCAAGCCCAAAACGAAGAACGCAGTGCCTCGCATGGTAAGAACTCCTGCGCTGGTTGCTATTTGCACGATCCGTTTGATGATTTCAGCATCTAAGAATGGTGCGCCAAGCTCCATTGAGCCGACATTACCGACAGCCCAGAGACATCCTTTAGCTTTGAGAAGCATTTCGTTGTCTTCTTCATCCAGCCTGAAATCACGAATCGTCCAAGCAAACTCATTGAAATGACCAGACTGTTCCAGCAGCTTACATCCCTCGGCAGTTCGTGCAAGTTCACGGTAGAAATGCGGTGGTACCAAACCAATATCCTGGAGATCCACCAGATCCTCGGGGACAAGGCTGGCACGTCGCGGTTGCTCGACGTAAGCTCGGGAAAGAGCAGCCTCAACAAGGCCAACATAGCTATCGTTGCGGCCAAGGAACCAGTCATCCATCTCTTGAGTGATGTAATCGAGACCATCTAGATAGTGGTATCCCACGGAAGTCGACAGGAAACGGAGAAGTAGGGGTGCACCGATTTCACCCAGATGATCGAGGGAGGGTCGGCATTTGACCACGAATTCGAGGTAATCCCGTTGATTGCATGCTTCTTCGAGGATTTTTACGGCAACTTGGCAGACCGTGACCTCGGGATCATACAACTGAGTGACAAGAAGTTTGACTACCCATTCTGCATTGCCAATTGCCACGTGAGGCGAAAGAGTTACGTCTCCAACGGCATATTTGCGTAGGAGTCTCGTTGCAAAAATCCGGATTTCCTTGGAACCAATTGTCAGGGCCTTTGAAAGCATGACCCGGAGATGACTTTCGCGGCTGTAGTCCATGTTCCCTAACAAAGTCTGAATGAGATCATTTCGATCTTGCAACTCAATGATGTGGTAAAACATGTTGAGCATATGCCATCGTTCCATCATAAGCAGCCCGTTGACATCGCCACTCAATGATCCTAGCATCGCAAAGTAGCCTCCACTTAGAGTATTGGCCATTTGGTCTTTGGAGAAAAGCGGGGACGTAGATGTTAGCCCACTCATGCGGTCTAGCTGGGCCAGACATTCTGCAACCTGGCGAAGGAATTTGTTCTCAGCCAAATACTTGGTGCCCTCGGGAGTCGTAACGAGAGTGCGCATGAGAACACAGCCGGTTCGAACATATCGTTGGTTTGCCTTTGAGTTGGGGACCAGCGCGAAGCGATATTTGAAAGGCCGGTAAAACCCAATAAGACGTTTCATGAACTTGGAGCCTTTGATTGCTTCGTCCATTCTTTTTGGATTTGTGAGAGGACCCTCCACTAGACGGTGAATAATGTCCCATTTCCACTTATTGAAGTTGACGGTGTTCAGGACATGAGTCTCCAGGATGGCATTGCGGAACTGAGTCTCGTCCATGGAAGGACTCATCTTGTCTTTCCCCTGTTCAATGGGAAGCAAAGAACCCGATAAATCAGTCTCCATGTTGTATCGGCCCTGCCCACTGGGATATCCACCAGAGCGTGCCAATGTCCGATTGATACTGTCTATCTGGAAGATAGTTGCGGTTGAAAGGTCGTGATTCTCAGTTTCGAAATCGACTGCGGGTGGGATTAGGTGTGGAAGCACTTGAAGTTTTGCGCTGACGGCTTGGGGTAAGGAATGATGAGCGAGCTTGAGAACCTCCGTTAATAGCAGGGTTGCTTTACGTCTAAGGGAGAGATCTGCTTCATCCTCAATGACATCGGAGAGAACCTGCACTTGATCAGCTCTTGCACAAAGCCAGGTCTAGGGGGGAAATGCATACCTTTGGGAGCCCTGCCTCGACCAAACCAGCCAATATGAGAGTAGAGAAATGAGCAGTCAGATCGAATCTGTTGCTATTAGTGTCGTTGAAAGCGCGGTTGGCTCTTGATGTTTCAAGGTCAGAGCGAAGATTCGAGACTCTGCCATAAGTTGTGAGTCGTCTGCCCGCAAGGAAAGATGACGACCAGGAGGGAGGTTTTATTCGCAGAGCGTCAAATAATAGCTCCATAATCAGGTCCCGAGCTATAGGATCATTGTAATGAAGCGAATCAAGGAGAGAACGCAACGGTTGCGAGTCATGTCTTGCAAGAATAACCAGCCCGGGCCAAGTCTTTAACATCGCAGAAATCGCCCGCGCTGCAGACTTCAATCGCCCATTGCGTAGTGTGTCGGATAACGAATCCGTGAAAGGCGTAAGAACAGCTTCAAGTTCGGATCCTTGGAGAAACTTTCGACTACGGGGAGTATCCACAACATGCAGAAAACTTGATATCAGAGACTCTGAAGCGCCGAACGTCCCTTCTGCAAGCGCATCATGCAGAGCAGCAAATCCACCGGCGGAAGCAACCAGTTCAGGATCTTTGACCAACATCTCAGCCAGGGTCATGATTGAAATGTTCCGAAGACGGTCTTCATGATGTTCAGCAACAGCAACGATGGTTCGCACAACGGCGCGTGATATCTCTCGGACACCATCTTTGACATCCAGGAAGCCTCTCACGAACTTCAATGCCTGTTCCCTCTCAATGCTTGCCTTGGTTTCTTTGACCAGGGACAATATCACGAGCTCATCGGTATGGAGTGTTCGAATAATTTGTAGGGATTTGCGATCAGCGATGGCATAGCGTGTTAGTCGATAACCCGCAGCTACCACCTCTTTACTGTCACTCAAAAGCATGACCTGAACCCGTAGGCCAAAAACAGACCATGCAAGGTCGTATTTCAAGGTGGGATGCCGTTTGAATAATTCAACCAAGCTGTTGGCACGCTCGACATAGAAATCAGGAGACATCCCCTCTATCTCCAACGCCTGCAGCGTTTCCGAGAGGACATAGGTTGGCGACTCCACATCACCGTCACCATTTTCTTCCCCATCGCCGTTAACAGATCCCATGCCATCCTTGTTTCGAGATGGCGAGCGCATGGGGCTAGCTCGGAAAAGGCTTGAGAGGCGGCTGCTGCGTGGAGGAGTCGAGGCCGGCGCCTGCGCACGTAATATTTCTTCTTCCAGCTCATGCTGCAATTCGACCAACTTGCGGTTCGATGAGCTCAATTCTGACTCGACTTTGAGACGCTGTTCTTTTGTTTGCTTCAGTGGTTTTGCTAGCAGCGCCTCCAGCATATTCTCGGTTCCGCTCTTAATCTTCATTTCCTTCGCGATCCTGTCTCGAAGGAAAGCCTGTCGCGTCTCGGTTGTGTGAAAATCTTCCTCGTCGATCGATCTGCTAGCACGTCTGTTGTATTGTCCGTCCGCCCGGGGCGTGACACTGCGTGAAGTCGTGCTTTTGAGCTCCGCACTGAAGCTACCTGGTCCACCACTGGAGGGTACCAACGAAGGAGCTAATGAGGGCACGAATGATCCTCCCCGTCCGCCCATATTGCTGCTCCCTCCAGACTCGGATCGCCTGTTCCTCCCAATTCGTGAGGTGCCATCCTGCCAGCTCCCATCGGCGGAGCCACCATCCTGACTGAACGAGGAGCGTCCATCACCCAGTGCACGATGCTGAGTCGACGCAGAGTATGCTGAGTTATGCCCGGAAGCCATAGAGCTCCATCTAGCCTTACTGGCTCGCTATCATCTATCGCAAGTGTTCTGAGTATCGGATTGCTGCATTGAGGTCGCTTGCTTTAGCGGGAGGGTCGAGCGGAGCGGAGCAAGGGCAGTATGGGGAAGCGTAAAGGAGGGGCGCAGTCACAGGTCGCCTGATATTCAAAGAGAGATAGTGGCCATGTCCACCTGTCGAAAGGGTGATCAAATTTTTAACTTAAACACAGTAGTGATCGTCAAACTGCTCTTGTTGTCCCACTACGAGGTGCTCGAGTCGACCAGATCTGGAGAAACAAACCGCTGACTAAGAAATCTTATCGTTCCAGCCCTGGAGCCCTACCAACACACCATGCCATGTGTGAAGAATGGTGTTTCTACTCCAGAGGTTTTCTTTTCTTATTGTTAAATAGTGTGGTCATTCATTGATTTTCATTTATTTTACAATGGAGTCTTAAGATCATACATTCTGGCAAAGTTACTCAGTATCCTCCCTTTCTTCCCAGTCTTGCTCATACTGATAAAATGGACTCAGGAATACCTAAATGTAGGTATCCCATACCGCTATCATTTCATTAGTTATTGGAGGTGGTCTTCTCCAGGATGGTTTTCATCATCTCATTGCCAAGCGTGGCAGCTTCAGGGAAACGCGGTGCGAAGTACTCCGCAATCCGCTCAAACCGGTGACGGTAGGACTCAAAGTCACCGAAAGAAACACAGTCAGACCATGCCTGGGGACAGCATCATGTTAGCATGAACTGGTGAATCTTGCATGACTCGGACAGGAGCCGGGGATATTGTGCAAAACATACCCTTGCAGCAAACGTGAACTCCAAATCATCCGAGCGGAAGGTGTTGTCATCGATTGCGGTATCCAGTGCCTCATCAAGGAGATCTTGGTTGCGGAACAAGTATTCGGTCACACCCAACCAAAGACGGAAAAGCTGCACGATATTAATATAACCACAATCTGGCAATGTCCTCTCCATGACTGGATACATACCGGCGTGGAACAGATCATATGATCATAAGGGACAATGCCGAGTTTCGACCAGCAATCAACAATCGCAAGCAGACTGAGATGGCTATTCGGCGGCGCCTTTTCGCGCGGCCGATTAGACAGAGAGAACCGATCCAGTACCTCGTCCTTCAACAACAGATCTTGTCCTTCGGAGCCAGGTCTGAAAACCGAGGCACCTGCAGCCTTCACTCGACGCTTAAGTTCATCCCTGTGCCCTCCAATCATCAGTTTGTACAAGTCAGTCACCGACTCAGCATACTGGCGAATCTGCTGCTTCGCCGCTGGGTTGAGGATGGCGAGCCCGGCATAGACGTGCCATTTGTTCGAGTAGATGCGCAAGGTGATATTGATCTTGACATTCTCGATACCGCCCACCCATCGTCCATGCTCCCAGGGGAACTGATTGTTGGCCTGCCAAGCGGTTCCCATGCTCAGGAAAGCAGCATGGGTGACAGCCTGTGTATCCGCTGTGATGCGGTCGTGCATCTCGCCGGTGAGATAGACATGTTTGGAGCCGAATGAGGAGAGGATGCTTTCAACGAATTTGAGGCTTTCGTCCGAGGCTCTGTGTTGAATGAGGACCTAGATCACTGCGTTACTAATGCATGTCCGAGATAGTATAGAATCCGGGGTCGAGGTTGACCATACCAGAGGCTGACCTTGCGGATTCACTTTAGGGCCATGTAGCGAATGGCAAGATACGATCTCTACGTCGGACGGCAGGTGCTTTTCGAATGCGGCGAGCTCCGGAGCCTTGCAGGACGTTTGGCCACCGACGATGGCACCGACCTTGGTTGCTTGAATCCGAGTCAGAATGTTCTTGGGTTAGAAGCAGACGAGCGGGTCTAATTCGACACATACATAATCCGTACTGCGCCACGACTTTGTCGATGGCTCCAGCCTCTACACTGTACAGAATGTAATCGCTAATTCTTGAGACGAGATGTCCATTGGGGAATATGGTGACTCCTTTCTATATATACGATGAGCTTCTTGAGCTTTGAGTGGCATAATCCCAGCCGGGGGACGTACTTGAGAAGCGAACTCTTGTTTTAAAGATTCAAAATTCTCAGGTCTATCACATGCGTTTATCCTTGATATCAAAATGCAAAGTTAGTTATGTCAGGTCTTAAGGATTAGTTATGAGGTTTGTTGGGAATCTGTAAAATCTTTTCACTTGTTAGTTTATGTTTTCAAACAGTAAAGTGAAGGTGTATAAAGTGAGGTTGAACAGGATCAGACAAAAAAAATTAAGGTAGCGTGGGTGTAACATCACCGACAGCCAGCTGGTTAGCCATCAACCAGAATGGTGTAACAGCGCCAGCCAAACCGTACTCGAGCCAAATGCACTCATGTCATCATTCGAGGGGATGGGCAGAGAAAAGAAGGATGGGGAAAAAAGCTTACCATTTGAAGCATATTGGGACTGTGTTGTCGAAAAAGGGACCAGTTACCTCCATCCCGCATCGCTCAGGCGCTGGGCATACATTTTGCCCATATCGCCCATGCCAATGATGCCAATCGAGGCATCTTCTTTGGTGCGACCCATCGCGACAAGCGCGCCTGAAACTTCCGAGAGATATGATGTAGCCCTTAGAGCCAGTAACACTGATAACCACTAGAGGTTATTTGGAACCGTTTGAGGTCCAAACTCGAAAGCTGCTCAAATCTGGGAAGATCAATTGCAATGTTGGAAGGAAATGAGTTGGGCGAACGAAAATTTTAAATACTGCGCCGAGCTAAGAGATTCACCGCCCACCGGGCCGACTAGACATCCGGGTACAAATGTTGGAAGCCAAAGCCTGAGGCATCCAACTCGCTTGATACTGCGAACCAATCACAGTGCGTAATTCTCCCTAGGGCACACACCCACTTTTTTCTTCATCATCCAGGTGGGATCAGATCCGACTTTTCCTTCCTTTCTGTATTCCATCCACACTAACCACCAACAGTCGCAATGGCCCCCAAGACCAAGACCCCCGCTGCCGCTAAGGAGAACGTCTCCCTCGGCCCCCTCGCCGGTGATGGTATGTCATGAACAAAATTCGAGACGAAGAAGTTGGAGAACATCAGATCTGACTCTCTACACAGGCAAGCTCGTCTTCGGCGTTGCCCGCATCTTCGCCTCCTTCAACGATACCTTCGTTCACGTTACCGATCTTTCGTGAGTCGCCCTCCGCCCGAAATTCTGTCGCATTCGAATCACCAAATTGGAGTTGAAATCGAGCGCAGTTGGGACGAACATAATGCAAAGGAAGATGTTGACTGACAATTGATTACAGCGGTCGCGAAACCATCTGCCGTGTTACCGGTGGTATGAAGGTCAAGGCTGATCGTGACGAGTCCTCCCCCTACGCCGCCATGTTGGCCGCTCAGGACGTCGCTGTCCGCTGCAAGGAGCTCGGCATCAACGCCCTCCACATCAAGATCCGTGCCACTGGTGGTAACGGCACCAAGACCCCCGGTCCCGGTGCCCAGTCCGCTCTCCGCGCCCTTGCCCGTTCCGGCATGCGCATCGGTCGCATTGAGGACGTCACCCCCACCCCCTCCGACTCTACTCGTCGCAAGGGTGGTCGCCGTGGTCGCCGTCTGTGAGCGTGTGCGGCTTGGTCTTTCCCTTCCCCTTGCAAGTCATTGCATCGCTGGATTGGAGGCTATTTGCGGGCTTCTCCTGCATCTGTGGATGGAATAAACGCGAGGAACGGCCTTGATCGCCTGGTCTTCAATTTTTTTCATACGCTGAAAATCAACTCCCTTGGGTTTTGATGTTGGATTAGGTAGTGCTAAATCAACAACTTGACCTATATTCTGGAACACTGTAGGCTCCTGATGAGCTCTGTCGTAAGATGATAGTACATAGTCATAGCACATCTAGATTCCCGAGACCAGGCGGGGAGCTCCCGCGGGGCCATATGGTCTGGCGGTTCGTAGTTCCTATTGTTGTATTTTACAGATATAGTGATTCTGTATTTGTTTTGAATTGGATGCTTATAGTGTAACGAATTAAGACAGCTGAGCAACGACACAGACCAAATTCTATGATATTCCACAGGATGTAGAGAAGATCTAAGTCGGGTTGCAAGGAACCAAAAAAAAAAAAATCGCCCCGTCGATAAAAAGATAGAACAGCGTTTATCCGCCAGCTCTCACTTCGAACTTTTCATCCGTTCTCAAAGCTCCAATCTGCGCGCAATCCCAAACACAAACCCCCAATCCGTACAAAACGGACAACGGGCGCAATGTCCGCCCACCAGCCAACCCCAACAATCCTCCTCCCCGACCTTCCACCAAAAACTCTCGTCGGCATCGACCTCATAACCTTCACATCAACCCCCAACTTCCACGGAATTCGTGACCTTTCCCCGGGATGGCACTTCCTGTACACCGGCGCAACAGAGACCCTCTCTTTGCGCAGCGGCGCATGGTTCTACATCGGTGACATCACTACCGCAGGGAAAGGGACCAACGACACAGCACTGGTCACGCAAGGCCGAAACAAAACCGGTAGCCAAAATGCACCGGGCCCAGAGATCTACATCTGGAAATGGAGCGCGAACACAGAGTCTCTAGTAACGCTGGACAGTGAAAGCGACTCCGCTCGCCAGGAGAACATGCGCTACAAGGCGAATCTGGGTTCTGTGTGGCAGACTGGAGGGTTATTCAAGTATCGCAGCCGGATCGCGCCCTCAATGCTTGTCAAGCCCGTGACAGAATCAGAAACCGGCGAAAAGAACGAAGAAGACCAACCAGCACCCCAGATCGAAGCTCGCATCCAGACCGAAGACGATGCGCAAACCGAAGAGAACGGACGGAGGGATTGGTCTGGACTAACCGACCGCATCTCACCGAGTCTTCTATCGCGCGTTATCGGGAACCCAGAGCTTGATGTGGACGGTCATCCACGATGGGTGTTATCGTCCGCTTCCACGGCCAACCGAGACGCGGATCATATCCCTGGCGTCGACTCGCCAGCCGAGCCGGAAATAACCGAGGAAGCGGAACGCGAATTCGGCTTCATCCCGGTTGATTTGAAGCGGACGTGGAGAGAAGGTGCTGTCGGGCGCGAAAGGACTGAAGCTGCGAAGGATCGATCTTGGGCTCTGGGAGACTTGATCGATCGGTATGCTGGGGAGGCCTCTGGGGGGAATCAGTTGCTTGGAGAACTGCAGTTTACGTTCCTCATGGTGCTGACTATGATGAATTACTCGTGTTTGCAGCAGTGGAAGCGGCTACTTGAGCTGATCCTTACATCCCGGAGTGCAATCTTGGATAGAGAGGCGTTTATGAGTGAAGTTCTTCGGATACTGTCGTTGCAGTTGCAGCGATGCGACGATGTTGATGGTGGGCTGTTTGAGATTGATGGTGATGAGGGTGGGGCTTTCTTGCGCGATCTACTCATGAAGCTGCGTCAGTCGGTTGATGACCTCGTTGGCGGCACTGCATCCGAAGTTAAATTTGAGCTTGATAAGCTTGACGAGTGGGTGAAGGCAGAATATGACTGGGAGCTACGTCGTGGGGCTGTCGTTCGCCATGGTATGCTCCAATTGGAGGATGGTGAACAGGTCGAAATGGACTGGGATGGGAATGACGAAGAGGATGAGACTGGAGAGTATGCTCCGGTGATCGTTGATATGTGAGATGCAAGATTAGGACATTGAATGCTGTTCCATTTCTGAGCACTCATGAAATATGCCAAGTAGTTAATGATTCCTTCTTGATATCCAGTTCTAAAGTGCATTTACCGGCGTCTTGTTATATTCTGCAAATCTACAGATCTTATCATACCCAAATGACAAAAATTGCATGAAACAGGCCAGTATTCTATGAATGAGTCTAAAATCTATATACAGTCCAACCCTGGCATCAAATATACCGGCCACAATGCTAAGTTTCACAAACCCGCCTAAGAGGCGTCAACCAAAAACCGAAGAGCCTCCGAGTCTAAATCTAAAATCATCTATGAATCTTTTATCCGTCTATTGTCCCTCGTTCTCGATGGTGTAAGCCCAGTCGTGCTCAACCTTGCCGAACATAATAGCCTCGAGCCACGACTTAATCTGCGCGGCATACCCAGCAGGCTCGCCGTTCACACCCAAGGTGTTAATCTCGGTGTCCTCATTCTGAATCATGGCAACAGGGGTAATGAAATACTAAGGGATGAGATGTTAGCATATCAACTCCGACAAAGAAACAGAAAACTCTCAAACTTACAGCAGTGCCAGAAACAAACGACTCAACAATACGGCCCTCCTTGGAAGCCTTCTCAATATCATCAATGGTCAAGCTCCGCTCGACAGCCTCAAGCGGCGCAAGCTTTCCGACAAAGTTCTCCGACAAACGCTCGCGCACGAGCTCCAGAACACTGCGACGGGTAACACCGGGCAGAATAAGCTGGTTATCAAGAGGAGCAGTAACAAGCTCCAGCTTGCCTTCGGTGTTGTGCCAGATAATGAAGAAGTTACTGGCTCCAGCCTCAGTGACCTGGCGATCCGGTCCGAACAACCACAGGATCTGATCGAAGCCCAGAGCCTGGGCCTTACCGTGAGCCTGCAAGGAAGGACCGTAGTTGGCACCGAGCTTGGCATAGCCGAAGCCGCCGGGCCAAGCGCGGATGGTATCTGGGGAAGAAGCGTAGAGTCTAAGGCCCTTGCGGGGCTCGGCTTCGGGGTCCTTCTTCATTTTGGTGAAGTCGGGCCAGGGAACGGCAATAATAAATAGGAGGGCTTCCTTGGGCACTTGGACGCCCAGGTGGGGACCGTTGCCGATAACGCTGGGACGGATGTAGAGGAAAGAACCGGGGTTGGGGAGCCAGCCTATAGAGAGTTGTTAGTGAATAGCTCTTATTTATAATGTAGGCAAGTATAGCCTGGGGGTTGTAGTGATATTGGAACGTACGGGGACCGTCGATCTGCAACAACTTGGCGACAAGCTTCTTCACTTCATCGGGCTTAAATCCGGGCAGCGAGGACCGCTGCGAACTGGAGTTCAGACGCTCGCCGTTGCAATCAGGGCGGAACAAGCGCAGCTTGCCGTCGTATCCGCGGTACACCTTCATGCCCTCGAAACATTCGGTGGCATAGTGCAAGACAGAGGCTGTGGGGGGGATGCTGAGGTTCTGGTAGGGCTTGACCTCGGGGGTCTCCCAGCCCTTGGCTGCGGTCCATTTCACGGTGACCATGTGGTCGGTGCAGTGGGAGTGGCTCAGCTCCTCTGGGGAGCCGGGCAGAGGCACATCACGCAGGTTTGTTGAGAGAGTGACATTAAACTTAGAGCCATCCAGCTCGGCAACAGGAGCGATAGAACCCATGATGAGATGGTTGTGGTTGATCAAGATTCGTTCCTTGATTATGGGGGGGGAGAGGTTCTATGAGTCACTCGACGGTCAACGGATAATCTTAAGAGAAAACAAAAACTGGAATAAACCTACCTTTTTGAAATATATATGTCACAAAAGAGAATTCCCATTGTACTTTATAAAAAGCGGTTTGCCCCGGAGGACCTTGGATTGCCCCTCGGAACCGTCTTTGAACCAAAAAAAAAGTTTTCAATGCCGAACGGTTCCCGGGGATATCGCCTCTCTCTGTTTGCCACCAGAAACATCATATATTGCACACTGTTGTACAACATATGTTGTATATGTTGAAAGGGGATTGGTTTCTTTAAAACTCCGATCAACTCCCCAATTCCAGTCGAACTCGCTCTACACTCTACTATGAGCATCTATGACGGGCCAAACATTGGCTATCTAAGGCCCACTTCTGGCATCTCCGAGGCTAGCCGCGTTGATATCGATATAATTCACTTACAATATTGTAGCCTTCCAACATTGATGTTGTAGGACTTCAGTTCGTATTCTTAGGGCAAAGCTTGCTGATTTGTGTGGCTACCGTATTAAAAGTCTTGGCTTGCTAGTCTATATAATCCTTGCATCCTTCACACCCTCAAAATTTGTTCTGTGTAATACACAAGAGGCATATCACCTTCTACAGAATATATATATCTCGTAGATGCAATTAACCAAGCATGGCAAAATAAGGCATCATCGAACACGCTTGCAGAAATGATATGTATGAACCCCAGTCTACACCAATCACGATAGCTGAATGATATTTCCGGCTATGTTGTACATCGCATGACGAACACGAAACCCACCACTCATCTTGAAATTCGATCAACTATCAGAATAACTAAATGAAGCTATATAGTTGGGCCCACCGACTATAGATCATTCAGCTGAATGTTGAGTGACATGGATATCACATAGTACATTAAATATTATCGACTTTCTCTCTATATATATATGTATGCTGGGACAGTCAGCCGCTTATGCGGCATTGTCATGTCTTTTTAGTGAAATTTTTATATGCTTTTTTTTTTCAAAAGATATTTCTCTTCTCGCCCTGCTCATGTTTCCTAAGTAGATGACAGAAGAGGGCGGGAAAAGGCTTAATTTGTCAAATCAACTTTTCCATGTACGACACCGGACAACATAACATGCATATCTAGTTCGCTGTTTTTATCAAAACCAAACTAAAGAAATGGTCTGATTTCCAAATTTATTCCTTCTATTTTGTGGCTCAGTCTTGATACAACATATCCATGGATCCTGTACATTAAACTCTGTTCACCAAACTCTATTCACTATGGCCACCGCGCCCAAGCAGTAAATTCCCCCAAAGGAATAAACAATACCATTCATGCTTTCATCCGCAATCTCTAATGAGCCTTCTGTATTGAAAAGTGATAATTTCATTCTAAAGTTCCGAAGAATCTCCGACCCCAGAGTCATATATATCCCCTTGGGCCGGAGAAACTCTAGTTGGTCGGAGAAGATATCCGTGCGACCGTTCGTATTCAACGACACCAACGCCGAAGGCTTGGGTTTGATCATGCATCTCGGAAATTATATCAGCAGTCACACAGGTGTCATCCACACGAGTCTGCTAGTAACGTGCTAGACAAGACTTTGGGATAGAGTTACTTCCCTCATTTTTTCAAGCAAGTCGGAGTCATGACCACTATGACCGTTGATTATCGGTATCTGGCACTGGCGCATTTTTATGTTATTATAAGTGCGAGAGTCATCAAGATGTACGGTCGCAAGGCATGGTTGGGTGGTCGTATTGAGACGCTGGAAGATCTTGGCACGGAGCTAACGCTGGTCGCTGAGGCTAAGACGATGTATATAGAACCAAAATAAGTCTCTGTAAATTGACAATCCTATGTGGAGTATTAGCTTGAGTGTGAAGCTGAATATTTTCAGAATATGGTCAAGTGGTCTTTGTGGTCCGAATAGAACGCAATCTATAGACACAGGTTCAGCGCAGTGGATAGAAACGTGCTCTAAGTACTTGATCATTGATTTGTGTGATGTAGGATTTGGTTCAATATGTGACTCGAGTTGGAATTTGCAAGACAAACATTTCGTCAGACTGAAAAGCTCACTGAATGAGATTGGCATCTGACCAAGGATACGACCGAATCACAAGCCATCTAAACGAGATCAAATGGAAGCCGCCAGCATACTTCTTTATTGTACATTGGCTTGAATATACTAACGACAGTATTCAAGTTGAGAGAAAAGTCTTTGAATCCTGCAAGTGTATGATTTTCAGTCGATTTGGGTGATCAACAGATAGCATAGCTAAATGGAAAACAATAAAACAAAGCATCGTCCCTACCAGGGTAAGAAAAAAGAGGAAATGAGAATAGCCAGACGTAAATCTGTGGAAATTTCCATTAAAGGAGCGAAGAAGGTGGGAATGGAAGATGGGTACCGCATGAAGGAAGAGCCATCAAGCATATGACATGATTCATGGCATAGGTTCCTCATAATATTTATCCATGGATAAGTCTTGAATTGTGCTTAACGGTTTAAGGCAGATTCCCACTGATCCTTACAAGCACACCACGCATAGCCCCATGACTCGTGTACATTATGTCCCCGAGACTGACAACTCATCTTTCCCGGAGCGCAAAAACAAGAACCAGTGCATGAACCACGGCTTGATGAATAATAGCCTGCATCAAGAAGATGGTCTATTGATTTAAAAGCAAGATAAAACAAAAGCAAACAACACATCTGTCACGGACTTTGATACGGCCGACTGCTGTTAGAGCGATTGGTCGGCAGGTATCACCCACGAGGGCTAGGTATACTCGCAGAGGCGTAATCTACCAATTTCAAGGATGGTGCTTCCTTCATATGTGACAGATCTCAAACCAATAATGTAGGCTGGATACTGACATGTGCGCATGCCGCAAGCATCGCTTGTTGGTATCCGACGATTGGATACAGAACCGACCAGGTTAAAATCAAGGGATCTGTACCCAATCGAGGCCTAAAGGCTGAGCGTAATAATATGAGGTAAATGATCGGCGAAGTATTGTTTGACCCGTAGTGTTTGCCTAGGTGCACATGGTTTGTTTTACAAAAAAAAAAGAAAGGAAAAGGCAAACATGGTTTGCGTACTCTGAATATTGTGCACAGAATGGCAGGTGTCAGAAACCGATCCATCGGTGGAGATATGCAAGAGTTGGACTTGTTGGGTGGAGAGCAAAAGCAAATATGGAGTACAACATACGGAGTACGTAGTATGTAAATCAGAAATCCTGGAAATCCTGGAAACCTCGGTAA